TCTTCAATTTCATATTCTTCAATATGACGACGAGCATTGTTTAAAGTGGCACAAATTTCATCAGTTGTTCGATCTTTACCATAATTAGTTAATTCAGATTTACTATTGGTAATGTAATACGAGTGGATTTTTGACATAGCCTCTAAATTTTCTACTGATAATCGTGTCCTCCTTTTTCCAGTCATCCATCCACAAATTGACCAAACTCGCTCACAGTTAGCTGCATGAGGAGCAATAGAAAATAATTTTTTTGCAAGTAATTGTATATAAGGGGGGGTAGGTTTACACATTCTCCACCAACTAAGAGGGGTGTTTGTTTGAGAATCATATGGTAATTTGTATGGGTTCGCTTGGAGATGAAATTCACCAATTTGTGACAAAAGCGTTTCTGCAGATTGTTTTTTGGAATGTTTATATTCTCTAAGGTGAGCAGCGATATCAGGAATTTTTAACATTTGTTGCCAAATGTGTGCAGCTGCACTTTGAATTCTTCGATAATGTACATCCTTTACGCCAATACCTATTAATTTTTAAAAAAAATTTGTATTATATATTATATCAGATAAATTTAAAATTTTATATGTCAATTGTCAAGTTTCACACCTTTATATCCAGGATGAATATAATATGCTAAAAGGTATTCATCAAAGTCATATAATATAAAGCGTTCGTTAAAAATCTTTATTGCATGTTGACGAAAAATCATGTGATCATCTTCAGGTATTTTATTAATTGATTGACCAAGATATGCCAAGGAGAAATAACAATCAGCCAGTGTTGCTTTATTACTTTCAAGAGTAAGAATAGCTTCCTTAATAGGTTTCATAATATTGGCCAAATCAGAAACATCATTAAAAAATCCTTTTTTTCGATTAATAATTGTTTTAACAGCTTCACTTGTAATAACGTTAGGATTTTCATTAATAACTTCTTTAAGACAAATTTCTAATCGAGAAATTGATTCTAACATTTCATAAACTGTTGTCAATCGTGTATCCAAGTAAGTTTTTAATCCTCCACCTCCTATTTTTTTTTCTAAGATTTTTAAATTTAGTAATTCTTTGGGTCTATGAGATTTTTTAAAATAGGTAACAATTACTGTACACCATTGAATTATTCGTTTTGCAAATTCATGTTTTATTAAATCTTTCGTGATTAAGTTTAATGCATGGGCTATACATCGGACATTAATAATGTGTGGGAATTTTTCAGATATTAAATTTCGTGCAGAATGTACATTTGATCCAGCATCTATAACAATACCAGCGAATTTCTGAACACCAATATCATCAAGAACTAATTGTATTTGTTGTACAAGAAATTCAGCTGTATGACTTTCGCCAGAAAAATCTCCAATCTTCCAAAGAAGATCTCTCCCATTACTAAGATGAATGACGAAATTCCAAAGGGATTTGCCTGATGGACTCGTCCATCCATCTAAAGCTTATTATAAAGAATATAACAAAGTTTTATTAATACAAACTTTAATTAAAAATATATTTACAATAAATAATTTACCTAATGTTAAATTATCTTCAGCATCAAGTAACTTATAACATTTTACACTAACTCGCAAAATTTCCTGTGTTAATAAAGTATCAACAATTGTTTTCCGATCTGGTGGAATATAATTTGGCCGTAGTTACTTGAGCAGTTCAATGATAAACGGGTGTTCAATTAGATGCCATGGCAAACCACAGCATACAAAAGCTTTGATAAGAACTGTATCAATAGCTTCCTTCCGTTCTTTACTTAATTCTGAGTTTTCATAAAAATTATTCAAAGTTGTTTGATCATTCTCAACTTGTGTGATTTTTCGTTTAGGATTTGTAGGATTAAAGGAAGATATTTCACGCGTTTCTACCATATACATGACAGCTTCACGAATTGAATGGTCCACCTTTGAACAATTAATTATATGTTTTTCCATTATTGCAGTCTTTCCAGGTCAAAAAGTTTGGCCACAAGCTGAACACGTTGCAGCATAATGTCCCTTATCTACTTCATCCCCTTGTTCAAAAAATCTCAAAATAGGTTTTTTTGGACGTCCACCAGAATTGGTGGACTTTATTTTTTTTGAAGTTGAAGGTGCACTATTATCACCATTATCAGACATTCTTAGAGAGTTGTAGACTTGTAGTTATAAAACGAAGACAGAGTACGAAGTTAATAAACACGAAGGAAAAAGAGATTATCAGTAATCTGTCTAGTGATCAACTGATCAATTTATATATTATAGAAAATTTGAAAAATTGGAAAATCGGGATATGTTTCGGATATCGGAAATGGTTTCGGGATTCGGTGAGAGTTTAGGTTTCGGGTCAAGTTTCGATTCGTATATACCGAAACCCGAAACTTTCGGAAATGCTTCTGGAGGTTTCGATACCCATGTTTAGCGTGAATGAATGTGACTATTTTTTGTGCATCTGTGACATTCCGGAGGGCAGTTTTCTTTTTTTTCTTATTTATTTCGATAACTTGAAACTTGGATTTGAATTTAATCCATTCGAACTTTGGGTAGTTTAGTGCAATTTTAAAATTTTATATCATATATAACGATAAAAACAAAAAATCTCGTTTAATTAAGGACATGTTAGACATGGTTTATACACGTACTACTAGTTGAAGATCTCATTATTTTTATTAGCAAAATATTCTGAATTTTATTAAAAATAATATATATAATACATGTATATGCTGTTGTCAACTGTCAATTTGCATGCTGACAGCTGACGTGAATCAGATGACGTACAACATACGTAAAAAAGATTAATTATGTAACAATAGGAGAACATGAATGAGATAAAAAAAAATAAGAGTAAAAAAGTAAAATAAAAAAATTTATGTCAAGGTTTTGCCAATTATTAAATTTGTAAAGTTAATTCGAATTAAAGGTCCGCATGAGCCAGCTCGAGCCAACTCTAGGCTCGGCTCAATATACCTAGCTTGCATAGATAAAAATCCGTTTATTGGTTTAATTTCACGTGATTTATTTTATTACTAGAAGAGGTTCAATTTCACGTGATAATCGATGTCGATCAGCCAATAAATTACGAATAACGATCACGTGACTATCCGTGTCTAAGAAAATAATTTCATTTTTTTTTATTTTTGAAACAACAAAAACTCTTCACAGACCAATCACTAATAAAAGAAACTGTAACCATTCTTACAGAATAGAAATAATCTAAATTAAATCATAAAATAATAAGAAATTAATTAAATAATAACAGATAATTTTTTATTCAAAAATTAATATCTAAGTTTCCTGTGATTCAATTTGGACAATCTTTAACTTTTATGAAAGAACAAAAAAAGCTCTTTCTAACAAATATGAAATCATAACAATTCAACATGTCTAGCTATAGTTATAATTATTTAAAGATCATGACCTTATTGTATATAAATAATATAAAATATCCAGTTTGGCTCATAAAATCTATAATAAAATGAATAGGAATTAATAATGAATAGCTTTTTAGATTCTAAATAAATAACTGATAAATGAAAATTTGTGTTTTAAATGTTTTTGGTATTTAACTTTTTTAAATTAAGAAAGTAAACTTACCATAAACAAAATATCAAATATTTAACCGGTAAAGGGCTTTTCACAAAGTTTCTTATTTATTTTTTGTAGTTAACGTGATCAAAGGGATGAGACACTTGAATCTGACGCACAAGAAGCTAAAGACATTAAAAAAAAAAATTTTGATTAGAACGTAGTGTGACTACCGCCTATATATATCGTAATAGATTTTAATAGTATATATATATAGGATCTACAAATGATCGACAATATGACACTAACGATTTATATCTATGATGCTGCTCGCGAGCTGGCTCGAGCTGTCACGACACAAGTTCGAATGCCAATGAGAATGAACAGAAATGTTTCGTTGTAAAATTGTGTAGTAGTAATAATGACAAGCTTTTGTAAATTTTCGAAAGTAAATCTTGATAGATCGTATTCCAATTTACAGGTATTAAATTTTGCATTAAATTTGGAAAGCTTGTCAGATTGCTTCTTTTAAGGTTTCTAAATTTCTTCAGTCTTATTTACTTTGTCTATATAAAAAAAATTCTGGAAAAAACTTCGATAAATGATCATTTTTTTAGTTTCTATTCTGAAGAAATTTTCTAATTTTAGAAGATAAGGAATAGTTTAGTAGTCTAGTATATACTGTACATAATCCTTTTAACTAAGATAAAAAATTTTTTCTTTTAATTTCATAACGTTAGTTAATTTGCATTAATATTAATGAAATTTGCAAACAATTTACATTGGTATTAATAAAATTTACAATAAATTAAACTGCGTCATTGCATTTTTAAAATTATATTTAAAAAAAAAACTTTTGGATTTTGATTGTCAGATTTTTAACTGTCAGAATTTGTGACTATCGGGACTTTATTTCAGCGGGATTTGGGTTTGTCGGGATCTTGGTGTCGGGATTTTGTGGTAAACCCAAAACAGGAGATTCATTAAAAATGGTTTCGGAAAAATGAGATTTTGGTAAAACAATAGTAAATAGGCAAATTGACGTTGGTGAATTTTATTCCGGTGAAACAGGTGTCATTAAAATGGGTGGATATAAATTATAGAATACATGTATGTTATTATACAAAAAATTTTTGTACCTCAAATATACAAAAATTGAAAACTAACAGCATTAAATACTGTAATGTGAATTATAGTAATATTTTATTAATGGAGACATCTAAATTAGTCTATTAATAAATAAAAAATAATAAAAATTATAATAAGTAATAAATAATATGTATGACTGTGCCAGTGGTGTGATTTATTAATTTTTGTTAAAAAAATTAATTACAAATTAAAATATAGAGATTATATCTAATTTTATAATAAGATTTCATTAAATTTCAAATTTTATAAAAGAATTAAAGCAGGTTGCTCACACTTATATTTGGTGTTAAATTAAAAAAAAACTATATATTCTGTTTATAATGTAAAATAATTAACACAAAAAAAACACCCATCACATTAAAACATACGCTAGAGAAGCTGCAGCTTGTACTTTCTCTTGAGTGCCTGCAAAGAAGCAGAAACTTATTTTACGAGAAAAATTTTCTTGTTTAATAGTGAGGCTGTAATTATTTTCTTGTAATACAAAGTCATCTGAATCGTTATCGTCATATCTTACTTCTAGCGAAAGTACTTGTATTGGATCCCCAGTTGTTGAATATGTTGTCATTCCAGCTACAAGTTGAAAAGTCTCTTGTGGTGGCGTTAATAAAACAGATGCTGAACATACTCTTTCAAAATTTTGATTATTTTCCCATAATTGAGCACTTTTATCGTCAACACAGAATGCATCATTTGAGTCAATATCAACACAGGATTCGCCATCTCCACAGCTAAAATTAGTGTCTACAGCTGTGCCTGGATTATTATAAGATTCACATGAAACCCTCACTGATTTCCTTGTAGCGCAAACGGAGCTTTTATATTTAGCATTATTAGGATCAGTGCATTTAGGCCTAGTGGATACAAGACCATCAGTGCTAAAAGATTGATTTTGTAAATTTACTACAGGTATTCCTACTACAGCTGAAACCAAAAAGAAAATATATATAATATATAATTGAGCAAACATATTCTGAGAATGATATGGAAAGAAAAGTGAAGTTTTTAATTTGTTCTTGTAAAAAAAAAAAATAAAGAAAATGAATATTATTTTTTACAGTGATATTTTCATGCCATTATTTATACATTTTACTGATAAAAAACTTATCCGTAAAAATGAGCCTTTTATTAATTCCTGAACCGGAAATATGAGCCTTTTACGGAAAAAAGATTGACTTTTTTTACAGGGCATGGAACAAATTCCCGTCACGTATGGTAATATATATGATCGACAACGTGCATGTCATATCGGGATTCATATTTTTGCAGGTATGATAAACAAATCCTTTATTTTTTTTTTCTATTAAATATAGTTAAGATATTTAATTCTATAAAATGAAATGGGTTAAATTTGTGTTCATCTATAAAAAAGTCCAAAAAAAGACCATTTTGTCCGATTTTGTTTTATTACAAAAAAACAAAAATTTAACAAAATGGTGCTTTTTTATTACATATGAGCACAAATATTAAATAAATTTAATTCATTTCGTTTTTATAGGGTAACATTTAATTATTTTTTCATTGACCGATTAATTAAAAAATAATTTAATTATATTTTGTAATTCCACGAAACCTAATTAATTGCATTGCGCATTGCGCTGTCCCTGTAAAAAATTCTTTAGAAAAATAATCCCGTGTCTGACAAATTCATCTGAGCCAGGATTTTGGCTGTAGATCATCGGGATTCTGTGACTGTCAGGATTTTGATTCAATCGGGATTTGCATTTATCAGGATTTTGGTGTATTATAGACTGTCGATATTATAGGTGTCAGGATTTTTGGGTGATCCCCCTGTTTTAACGACAAAAGTCATTTTTCCATGATCAATATGGTACTGTATTGACGATCATGAAATTTTTTATGAAAGCAAGGAAGATTTTCAATGGTATAATTTTTTTGTTTTTGAAATTCTAACCGTACTATTTGAAAAAAAAAAAAAATAGAGAGAAAAGATTACATAGGAACAACTAGATTGGTGCTACAAAATTTTGCATTATTAATCATTTTGTAATCAGTTTGTTGAACTTCTTTTAATATTTCAATAATTTGAAATTAAGGTGCAGTAAGGAGTGAGGCGCAATTAATAAATTTTGGTGCGGTAGGTCGTAAGCTGGTATTCTAACTTTAATTGACAATCCGCGAGCCAACTAGAGAAAATTATATATAAATTTGACGCAAATATTTACTAATTTGTCGTAATGTAATAAAACTTAAACATACGGATGGTCACCGTACCAGCATTATGATGTACTTTCGACCAGAATCAAAAATCTAATAAAATGGCCAGCATTACATCATAATTTCACCACCGGTGATGTTTAGCAATACCCAATATTAATTATTAATAATGTTTTAGTAACATAAATATCATATGAATATTTGGAAAAATATAATTAAAAATTTTTAATTCGGCGAAATGACTTTGTAAAAAGTCTTTTGACGAAATTTCGTGTGGCGAATTTGTAAGATGAATATTTATTGTGCTAGGTCCTAGCCTAAAATATCATATTGTTACATTTATAGTCAGGATGCAGGATGCCCTAATTTGGATTGCCTAATTACATTGCAGAAACTCGTGATTTGTTACCATGCGGTTAAGATGTCACCAAATCACAACAGTCCAGTATCTAACACATGACAATGTGGATCTCATAAAATTATCGACGACATACTTTTTCGAAGTCGATAACATGTTAAAAGATAGTCTTAAATAGATAGTAAATAGATATTGAATGACATCGAGAATTAGCAGCAAAAATTAATCTAAGATATTTCTTAGATGTATTAAATATTATTTAGCGATGAATCTGTCAATCTATTTTATTCATATTTTTTTATATAAATTTTATTGATAAAATTTTAACATCGGGAAAAAGCCTTAGTATGTATCATGTGATACATGTGATATTATAAAGTAACTATAGTTCGATATAAACTATTTTTAGCTCAACAACTATCAAAATAAACTATTTTTAACTTTTTTAAACTTCATCTTTTTACTTCTCGTTGATATCTGTACAACTTTCCTTTATTTTTTCATTTTTCCTTTGTCCTTTTCCTTTCTTTTCCCTTTACTTTTACTTTTTCTTTCATTTTTTCTCCTTTCTTACTTTTTCATACTTCCTGTTGAAAAAAAATCCTTAATGAACCATCTTATTTATTTTTTTTTTAGTTCTTTCAATTTCCTTGGACGCGAAATTTGATAAGTTTCCAATTTTTTCTTTAATTGTTCTTATTTTAACGAACAGTTAACCATTCTTTCTCTTTCTTTTTATAGGCAGTTCTCCCTAAAATGGGGTTTCGGTAAGGTAATTTTTTAGTTTTTTCTTTTTTTCTTTCTTTTAGAATTTTCTGATACTCACTGGAAATGGAGGTGTTGTCCTTTTTTGTTATTAACTTTTACCTTTTATTTTTTGTAGGGTTTGGTTTTTTTTTCTTTTAAAGGTTTGACAACTCTTTTGGATTTTTCTTTTTTAGGTTTTGCCGATTCTTAAGAGTAGGTTGTTGATTTTATTTTTGCTTTATTGTTCCCTTTTGTCTTACTAACAATTGTTTTTCTTTTCTTATTTTAGATATCAGTACTTCTTCTATTAATTCTACTGTGCCATTGTTTGAAAATGAAAGTTAATTGCCGATCCGCATGTGATCGATAGAATTTATATAATAAAATACGGCGCAACATTTATATATTAAGCCATGTTGATCATTTTTTATATCAAATAAAATGCGACCATATTGTTATACAACTGCGTAATTTAACACACGTTTAAGATCTTAGAAAAAAATTTTTTATAAAAAGTTTTTTTTCTTTCCAGTTTATGAAGTTTTATATGTAGGAAACGGAGATTTCATAGTATTTTACTTCTATGGTATAAATGGTATAACCGATTTCTACCTCTTTAACTTTCTTTTGACGCTTATAAAACTTTTTTGATTATTATTTCTGTCAACTATTACATTTTTAATAACACTATGCACTTCTATATCTCTTTTTCTTTCACAAATACGTCCGGTTTGTAAAAAATATGAATATAATGAAATTCATAAATAATAAAAGGACTTTGATTAAGTTTTAACGTAATCTCAAAATAGGAATAGTTATCTTGAATTTTTTTCTTAAAAATAATAAACAAGTCATATAAATATGACCACAATAATGAAGTTCTGATATAATAGCACCAGTTAAAACAAGTTTTTTTTGTGTTATATATGTATTTGACGTTGTTGTTCTTGGGGAAACAGAGTTTTCAAACTGCATTTTTTTATTAATTAACATAACGCCGCATTTTACTATGTAGATTCTATCGATCACATGCGGATCGGCAATTAAATGTTAAATTAGCTCAGGCCAGGAGAGATCCTCAGTTAGTGGATCAAAGTGTGGAAAATCAGACTGGATATAAAAATTTCAAATTTTCATTTTTGTGATATTTTATGTGATTGTATGATTGACATACTGAACTTCTATTGAGTTTGATATATCAAGGGTTGGACTGTATATTTTTCTAAATAAGAGTTTGCAAGTGAAAATTTTTACTTTTTCTAAAAACTAACTTGACTCGACAAAATATCTTAAATTGAATCGTTACCTTTAGGGTTTTGCACCTTTTTTGTGAAATGAACTGAAGGTGATTGTTTGATTTTTTATTTGTTTTGATTTTTTTTGTCATTTGTGCTAATTTTTTCTTTTTTTTTAAGTTTTGTCTTCATTTTGAATTAAATATAAATAGGAATTTAATTATTTCAATAGGTGCATTTTTTCAGTATACTTATTTTTTTAACAAAAGTAAAGTACGAAACAATACTAACATTTCTTTTTTTTAGAATGACGGATATTACTTGGGAACTAGCTCTGATCCCTTAGGTAAAGTTTTTGAAAGACTTCAAAAGCTTTTTTAATAAACGCATCAATTAACTTTCAGTTAATTTTATAGGAATTCTGGCCTCTCCTATATACCAGAATCCAAGTGAGTTTCAAAACAATTTTGAAACTAATTTTTATTTCTTTAAAACATGTTAATAACGTTTTTTTGTTCATTTATAGGAAACCAGCTTTGAAGTTCGAACCTGGATAGCTTTTCAAAATTTTGTAAGAATCCGGCCCCTCATGATACCAGAATTCACTGAGATGTTTTTTACTCATAAATTTTTTGTTGTCTTTTAGCTTAAACTTCAACAAGAAGTGGTCATTCATAATAATATTATTCGTTTATATGGAATTATGAAGGACGAATGTGAGTTTTAAAATGATTTGAAGTTAAATTTAAAAAGATATTTTAATAATATTTTTTGTTCATCACTTTCATAAGAAACCAGCTCCACCTTTGTTACCGGAACCCTAGAGGTTTGTTTTCAGAGTACTTTAAAAACTTCTAAAAAACATTTTAATAACCTTTATTTATTTATTTATTTTTTATTTTTTTAGAGGAATGGCTTCCTACTTTTGAAACTTCTTTAATAAATGTTATTAATAGAGTAAGAGGGTATATCGAAAAATTTAGTTTTATTTATAGATTAGAATAATGCATATGATTAGACTTAGAATAGAACATTTTAATATAAATTTACAGTACATTTTTCAACTTTTGAAATAAATAAACTATAACTTTACTACAACATTAATATTTGTTTACTATGACTTAAACATGAATTTAATGTAATTTAAATATACATTTACCATATGTTTTCGATGTTAAATCAGGTGACGATCACCTTAATATACATCAACTTCGATTGACTTGAACTTATTGTAACGATGTGAGACCATATCGTGATCAAGCCTTGGTATGATAAAATTTCGACTTGGTCACGATATGGTTTCGATTTTAAAAATTTCTGCAATGTATATATTTGTTAGTTTTAATTATTTTAATGAAATTTATAATAACATATATAAAAAAATAAAAAAATACAATAGATATAACTATATGTTATTTTATCTACTACCCGTCTAAGATGAAAGTAAGTATCTATACTTATTAGATCTAAACTAAAAAAAGTATCTAAATAAAAAGTTTTTATAAAATATCTCATATTCAATATTTATTATTTGTGTCGGTGAAACGTTTGTCGGTGAAATGGTGAAATGAACCAGACCCCAAATGGATTAAATTCAAATCCAAGTTTCAAGCTATCGAAATAAATAAGAAAAAAAAACCGCCCTCTGGTCAGTCAGTCATTCCGAAAATGTTAGCGATTGACATTCCATCATTAAAATTCAATCTAATATTCTATTTTTTATTAATTATTAATAATGTTCTTAGTAACAATATTTTCGTAAATATTTTATGAATATTTTGGGAAAAATACGATTTAATAAGAGATAGCTTTCGGTAAAAGGTCCTTCGGCGAAATTTCGTGTGGCGAATTTGTAAGATGAATATTTAATTTATTTTATTGTGCATTTATTGTTACATTTATAGTCAGGATGACCTAATTCGGATATCCTAATTAAACATAGATGATAGATTTATCCAAATAAGGATCGAAACCCGATTGATAATAATATTATGTCATTTTTTTAATGACCCAAAATTCTGGAAAAAACTCCGATAAATAATCATTTTCTAGTTTTTGTTCCGAAAAAATTCAGACACGTGATCATTTTTCTAAAAAAATTTTTAGTGCAATTTATTAATCAGGTTTCGTGGAATTACAAAAATATAATTAATTATTTTTTAATTAATCGATCAATGAAAAAAATGAAAAAAAAATAATTAAATGTTAACTATATTTAATAGAAAAAAAAATAAAGAAAGGAAATGAATTTGTTTATCTTGACCTGTCACATGTATTAATCTTGACCCACTACATGCACGTTGTCGATCACATATATTGAATCGGCATACGTGACGGGAAGATGCTTCATGCCCTGTAAAAAAAGTCGATCTTTTTTCTGTAAAAGGCTCATATCTCCGGTTCCGGAATTAATAATCTCACATCACGGAATTTATCGAATTATTCACATTTTCCGTGAATGGAACCGTAAAAGGTTCATTTTTACGGATAAAATTTTTTTTATAGGTAAAATGTATAAATAATGGCATGAAAACGCATATTAATGATTTTAATAATATTACTGAAAAAAATAATATTTTTTATTTTCTTTATTTTTTTTTTTTACAAGAACAAATTAAAAACTTCAGAATATGTTTGCTCAACTATATATTATATATATTTTCTTTTTGGTTTCAGCTGTAGTAGGAATACCTGTAGTAAATTTACAAGATCAGATTTTTAGTATTGATGGTTCTGCTGTACCCACTAGGCCTAAATGCACTGACCCTAATAATGCTAAATATAAAAGCTCCACTTGCGCTACAAGGAAATCAGTGAGGGTTTCATGTGAATCTTTTAGTCAACCAGGCACACCTGTTGATACTAATTTTAGCTGTGGAGATGGTGATTCTTGTGTTAATATTACCCCAAATGATGCATTCTGTGTTGACGATAGCAGTGCTCAAGTATGGGACAATAAAAATGAAAATGAAGTCGTATGTTCAGCACCTGTTTCATTAGTGCCACCACATGTGTCTTTTCAACTTGTAGCTGGAATTACAACATATTCAACAACTGGAGATCCAATACGAGTAGCTGAGCTACAAGCAAAATATGATGATAACAATTCAAATATCTATACTGATTATAAATATCAAGAAAATAATTACACCTTCCCTATTAAACAAGAAGATTTTTCTAAAAAGTTGAGTTTCTGCTTCTATCCAGGCTCTAATGAGGAAGTACAAGCTGTAGGTTCTCTAGCATATGTTTTAATGTGATGAATGTTTTTTTTTATGTTAATTATTTTACATTATAAAAAGAATATATAGTTTCTTTTTAATGAATGGTTTTGTTTAACACCAATTATACTTTAATTATTTTTATAAAATTTGAAATTTAATGAAATCTTATTATAAAATTAGATATAATCTCTATATTATTGTTTGCAATTAATTTTTTAACAAAAATTATAAATCATTCCACTGGTGTTCAACACCACAGTCATACATATTATTTATTTTTATTATTTATTATATAATTTTTATTATTCTATATTTATTAATAGACTAATTTAGATGTTTCCATTAATTAATAAAATATTATAATTCATATTACAATATTTAGTGCTGTAGCATACATATATATATATATATACTACTTCACATATATTTTTCTTAGCTTTCCAATTTTTTTCTTATTTTGTAATATTTGCGGTACAAAAATTTTTTTTTTTTTTTTTGAAAAATTGAGTTTATTATTCGGCCATAATAACATTTATGTCGTACCCACCCATTTTACCGACACCTGTTTCACCGGCATAAAATTTTATATAAATATGATGCTTCTTTTCTTTCAGTTTTTTTCAAGTCAACTTAATATCTTGAAAAGAAATTAACAAAGTTACATATAAAACCGTAAAAAAAAAAAAAAAAAAAATAGAGAGAAAAGATTACAAAGGAACAATTAGATTTGTGCTATAAAATCTTGCATTATTAATGCATTTTGTAAATTTCTTTTAACATTTCAGCATTTGAAATTAAGGCGCAGTAAGGAGTGAGGCGCGGCTAATAAATTTTTGGTGATAAAAACAACGAAAAAATTTACAACGGTTGAGCAGGTAGGTCGTAAGCTGGTGTTATAACTTTAATTAAATTAAGGATTACAAAAATTAAAAAAATTAACGAAAATGAAGGAAAAAGAATAATATTCTTCATCATCTAGTACTGGGCATAGAATCTGTTTATCTGTCATATAATCCTTTAGTGACAAAAGAATATCAACATTTGGCGCAGTTTATCTACATCTCGAAATTTTATTTTATTGGAAAACTTTTTACTGTATTATATTAATTGCATTAGTAATAAAAACTTTGGATAAATGAATAAAATAAATGAATAATACTAATGATAAAACTATATTAAGGTAATCTTTTAACGTTTCTTGACAAAGTATAATGATTTGTTCATTTAATTAGTTAAATTTAAAATAACCTCTTTAAAATGGTAATTTACTTATCGGTGTAAACTAATAAATGTGGTAAAGCGAATAAATGTGACTATTTTTTGTGCATCTGTGGCATGGATTTGAATTTAATCCATTCGAACTTTGGGGTAGTTTTTAGTGTAATTTCAAAATTTTATATCATATAATGATAAAAACAAAAAAATCTCGTTTAATTAAGAACATGTTAGACATGTTTATACACGTAGTTGAAAATTTCATTATTATTATTAGCAAAATATTCTGAATTTTATTAAAAATATATATGTATATAATACATATGTATGTTGTTGTGTGTCGAGTGTCGACTGTCGATTTGCGTGCTGACAGCTGACGTAAATCAGATGACGCACGACATACGTAAAAAGTAATGATGTAATGATGTAACAATAAGAGAGAATGTGTTGATAAAGCCTACATGAATAAGATAAGAAGTAAAAAAGTAAAAAAATTAAAATTTTAATTTTCTCCAAGATTTTAAATTTGATACAAATGTTCTCGTTGTAAAATTTTGTAGTAATAATGACAAGCTTTTATAAATTTTCTAAAGTAAATCTTGATAGGCCGGGTTTGGTGAAGCTTACTAGAATCCCGAAGGTATAATATCCCAATATTCAAATCCCGAAAAATCAAAATACCAAAATGAAAAATCTTGAAATTTATTAATAAAGAAAGAATGAGGTGTCGGGATTATAAAGTTTCGGGATTATGATATTTCATATGTTGGGATTAAGATTTTGTCAGGATTTTGAGTGTCAGGATTTAGAATGTTTGGATATTTTACCCGCGAGCTTCGGGATTTGACGTATTCCAATTTACAGGGATCATTTGGAAAGCTTTTCGGATTGCTTTTTTTGAGGGTTTTTAAATTTCTTCAATCTTATTTACTTTGTTAGAAACTAGTTTAACGCAATAATCAATAATTATAACATAGTTTTGGGGCTTCTCCAATTTATTTTTAATGTACGGATGTGTTCTAATATACGTTTATGCGACATTAGATATTACGAGTAAGTAAGTAATTTACGTAAATTTTTCATTGTAAATTTCTATCACTTTTTATAAGAAAATAAGATATTAAAAATAATGCGTTTTATATTATGTAGCGTTTGGTTTTTATTCTTAAGATTTTTATACATAAAATCAACTGTATGTGCAGCTGAAGAATAAGTATTTTATTTGTTTAAAGTTGTTACAAGTTTTATAATAGTGATTTGAGTTACCAGTATTTATGCGTCATAATCATTTCGACATTTATAATAGAACCAAAAAACAACTCGTAGAAAAAATTGAATTATTACTCAATAGGTTTTATTGAAATAAAATGTGCAACTACTGTACATATTACATGATAGAAAGCTGCGCCGCATATTTTATCCATAGGAGGTAAATAGATCTTAATATGGCCAATATTCATTCATTGTTCTAATTTTCTGTACTATTTATTTAGTATACAATTAAAAAAATAGCACCATTATTTCCATTTTAAGAACTTGAGTAGGATAATATATTTTTTATATTATTATTACATGATTAAAGTGTCTCTGCCGTCTCGGCGTCATCAACTGCTGCAACTCAACTATGTAATATCTAAAGAATATATGAATAACTGAAGTCTTAATTAGGAGAAATTTGATTGATTGTGTATAAATATTATTTGTACAGTAGGAGTTTGATTTCTTAACTTCTGGAAATAATTTTTTGAGGTTAGAGTTTTTATGCAATAATCTGTTAAGGTTACGCCATAAATCCTAAAATAAAAAAAGATCTTTTTAACCCACCAAAAAAATTTTTTTTTTTTTTCCTTGGGAACCTTCTTTAAAATTATAAAATGATAAAACAAATAAATATAAATAAATACATCATGTAAATGATCCGATAAGTCCGAGTCCGAGAATTTTAAAAAATATTACATAATGACTTTGCATGTTTGCTTTTATTCCTAGTATAATATTTTTTTTATTTTATTTCTTTTTTTAGATAAGAAATTTTTTTTTTTCACAACTTTATTATAAATATTTGTTTAATCTATCTACAAAATGATTTATGAACCTGTGTTACCCCAGAGTCAAACCAGATACAGTATATAAACAACGCGCAAAAACATCCATTCTTTATTGTCAAAAAAAAAGCCCAAAAAACTTAAAAATCTTCCATCTTGATTAAGGAGTAAAATTAATTCGCTCTTAAATTTTAAATTTCTTATTATTTGGATTATGGATAACATGAATTTAAATAACCAAAATACACAAGATTATTATAATTTACCAACGGATCAAACTCCGCTTCTCAACAAATTCTTAATAATAGTAACAATAAAAACATCCAACATACAATGTTGGAGTATCTAATTCAAACAGATTGCACATTAATTCTACAATTCCTGCGCCTCATAATACTAGTACATTTGAGTTTTATTTTCATTTACCAAATGATACTCGTACATGTATCTATCGTGTTACTTATTCTGAAATAAATCTATCAGAAAATGTTCAACTTTTGAATGATGGAATTAATCGTATTCCTTATTATCTTTTGCCACATCATCATAATGTACAATCTCTAATTCAACAACAGATTCAGCAACAAGTCCAACATTCTATCGTTTATCAACAAAATAGAATTCAATCACAGCCCTTCGATACTTCCCAAGTATATTCAAATAATGACATCTATAATACAGCTTTAACTTCAGTAAACGGAAATGTTTCTTATGATATGCAAGATACAAGATTCCAGAATTCTTCCTAGGGCTAATGGCTCATACATTTTTCGGGTAAAATGAACGAAATTTTTTCTCATTTTTTTTATTTTACTTTTAAAGTTCGACAATAAAAGTTGATTATAAAATGATAACTCATTTTTATTTTTTCTAAATAATTGTTGACTTTTTTTAGCTAAATTAAATGATCTTTGCCGTTTTTTTCTCTATAAAGAATGAATGATTTTCTTGTTTAAGGTTTATTTTTTAACCAATTTCATTTTAATTATTTTTATTTATTTAATCATATGATAGCAATACATATGCAAAATGTGTCTTCAAGTCTATTTTTAGTGATTTATTTTTGGTTTTATATTAGATTAGTATTTTTCTTAATTCTCAATTTATCTTATTTTATTTATTTTATTATTACATCGTAGTTTTCTTCTTATTTTATCAATTTTTGAGGGTGACATAGTTAGTATATGAATTGAGTTTGTATCATGTAACATTGTAACAACCATCACGTTTACTTACTATAGTACTTACTATCAATAATATATAATTAGAATGAAGTTTACTAAAATGTTAAAAATTTATATACTCGTATAAACAAGTGCAAGAACTTAATTATTCGTGTTTATTTTTGTTTTTTTAAGACTATTACTATTTGTAAAGATAAAATTCGATCGTTATAGCTTTTTTCTTTCTTTTTGTTTCAAAATATTAAAGTAGTTCCACAAAATAATACATCTAAATTTTTTCAACTACTTACGGAATCCTCGTTACGTCCTGATGCTCCACTCTTTTATTAGAATTACCATCTATAGCAAACTAATCAATTTAACAGATACTTTCAAAACGCCATATAAACCTTCACTACTGACAATGGATATCGGTGTTTCGTTCTCTTTTTTGTTTTCTTACCTTCACCTTATTTTTCCACCATCCATCCCTATTAATAATATCCTTCTTCCCCTCTTTAGACTCTCCTTCGGCTTTTTAGTATTATTCCCGATTTTGCTTTCTTTCTTCGTAAACGAGATTATAACTCAGTTAAGTCCAGACAGATTAGTGCTAGTAGCCTCTTGTAATTTCTTGAACCTGTTAAAGAACATCATTAATTTCTTCGTTTATCTGCGGGTTAAGAAATGATATGTTTAGCCACCCATTAACGCCTAATAGCGATGTTTGGATTTTTTGCGCTTCAATTCGGAACCAATTAGCATTAGAAAATAATTAATACGTAAATAGTTAAAAAAAAAAATAAAACTATAATTACCAGAAACAGGTACATTTAATAAACTGAGAGAATGGTTTCAGCAATATTAAATTTTACATAGTACTTGTTTTTTATCGAAGGTTTAACTACTACGCTAGTTTCTGTAAGCCACGGGAATGTCATACAATGTCCATCTTGTGAGCTTGTATATCTTCAACATATTATGGTTCAGACGTTCTCTTAATATTCCTCAAAAAAATTTTCTTTTTGTTTTCCAGAGGTAAGAGTTGTAGCTACATGCTATGAAGAAGTATTACCTGGTACAACCATGCCAGACTGTTAGGTCATAAGGAATTCTCCGAACTGTCGCCACATGAGTTTATAGATTTTTAAATATGTTTAAGCACCTCTCACTAATCCATATGTGACAGTCCTTATTATAAAATCCTTTCATACTATTACTTTTGCATATAATATCATTACAACACGCGATTGCCATACTGTATCTCAAGCCTGTAGAGAATCCCAAATTACTTGGCAAAATAGTGACCACCAGGACAGAGGGTACAAACGCAACCCTTTTGAGCCGACCCCCCCCCCCCCCTACACACGGAAGATCAATACCGCATGTTCCTCGAATGTCACGTTTTTTGAGTTTGCGCTTTATTCGCCAGTGCGGTAATTACTGGATTTTTTGTCGCTTCTATATATCAGATAAAGCTTTCTCAACTCATTACATAACATTGTGAAGTAGTCATTGATTCCCTCAGATATTCCTATTTGGCCCCTTTTTCTCGTTTTGAAATTATTATGCGATTTAATGACAGTTTGTTCTTTCTCAACTATCGAAATGATATCTTCTGACTTAGCCGATATAATAACGTATATATTACGTAATATTTTGTCAACAAGTATGTCGGTTATTGTATTTATAAAGTAGGATATGTATTTGTGAAGTGAAGAAAAGATACTAAAATATCGTAAAAGTTCTCTTCATTAGTTCTTTAGCTCGACGGTTTATGTAACTCTATATTTATTTTAAGATAAGTTGAAGACATTTTTGTGTGTCAAGAATAATACATATCATAATAAAAATTTTTTTACTGCGGAATTATAAATAAAATTGCAAATTTCGGAAAGAGTTATTCATTTGTTAATCGTTACATAAGTCCAACATTTCTGTACCCATATTTAATTTCCGATGATGATCGACACTCTTTTTGCCATATTGAAAATTGCTAATAGTCCATGTACTTTCGGCCAGAATTAAAATTAATAAAACACTGGCCAGTATTACATCATAAAATTCACAATTACTATAACCTTTTTATAAAGTCCAAATTCCATACCTGTTTTTTCAATGTCCATCGATTTAATTTGTAATTCATTCTCCTCTGAATGAATTCCTTATATATTATACTGTATATTAATATTACCTCTTACTATTCTGGTAATCTGGTTTTACGTTATTTATTTTTTCCCATTGATCAATAATTTGGATTTGTCAAATTTTTCACGCGATCATTTTCAGCATAAATAAAACACGACTGGTTTTATAACTTCTATATACTTTCCACCCTTTCGGCCTTTCTTCTTTTCTTTATAATATTGCGTTAACGAAATCAGATTTTCTTCCATAACGTTCATGTAAAACCAATTATATGAATTATCTGATATAAATAAAGAATTTTAAATCAAAGAAACAATAACTCAAAAATCATATCAATATACTAAAAAATTATTAATAATCATTACAAAATTTTCCGAAAAAAAAAGATCGAAATAATTTTCTGTATTAAATGCATAGAATAATTTATTACTGTATTTTCTGTTAGTATGATTAAGGAGGTGTAAGATATTGCTAACGCTATCACGTGCAAATGCATAAGCACCCCTGGCCAGAATTATGGATATTTTAGCCAGAATTATGAGGATCTTGGCCGGCATTAAGTGCAAAAAAGGGTGCTTATATACCGCCAAATACAATAAATTTTACGTTAGAAAATTTACAATAATTAATAAATTTTACAACTCAGAATTGTAACAATATTTATATTGCTAATAAAATAGCAATATATCAGATATTAAGATTAATTGGATTTTGAAATCATGACAAAATAATTACGAGTAATATTTTATTGAACATTTTTGTCCTAATTATAAAAAAAACCAAGAAAATAAAACAAAATAATTGAAAAATAATGAAATATAAATAATCAAAAAAAAAAGAAATGAAACGAAATTAAATAAAAAGAAATAAAATAAATACTAAACTTTACACAAGTTAAACTTTCATTTGCAAAAGCTAAATTTCTTATATTACCTTAGTTTATAAAATACTAATATTGATAAGGGCCATTTGGTCATGTTAAAAAATTTATAGCAATGTAAGATTAAATTTCTATTAACTTAAAATTGAATATTTTAGCTCAGCTGTATAAAGAATTTATCATTTCATGGAACTTTTATTTCGAACTTTAAATAAAATAAAAAAAGAGGAAATAGTTTCTTAGCTCCTAGGAAGAATTCTGGAATCCTGTATTCCTCGTATCTTGCATATTGTAAGAAACAGTTCCGTTACTGTAGGTGTCATTATTTGAATATACTTCTTGGGAAGTAGATTGAGTATTATTGAAGGATTGTTGTTGAATATCATTTTGCTGATAAATAGGATTCTGAACTTGTTGCTGAATCTGTTGTTGAATTAGGAATTGTAAATTATAATGATGCGATAACTGGTAATCAGGAATGTGAGATAGATTAATTCTATCATTCAAGAGTCTCACATTTTCTAATGGGTGTAATTCGATATACTGAAATGTAACGTGATAGATACGTGTATCGTTCGGTAAAGGAAAGTAAAATTCAAATGTAACGTTTTGAGGTGCAGAAGTTGCGACATTATGCAAGGCGTTTAGACTCATATTAGATATGCCTACGTCGTTAGTTGAAGTATGTTGGATATTGTCATTGATATTATTATTAAGAATTTGTTGAGAAACGGAGCTGTCTTCAGTTTGGTCCATTGATAAATTATAATAATCTTGTGTATTTTGGTTATTTGAATTCATGTTGTTCAAAATCCGAATGTAATATTAAGTAAAAAATGAAAAATAACAAATATAATTAGGAAATTTAAAATTTGAAGGCTGATTAATTTTCTACTCTTTAAACTAGATGGAAGGGTTTTAGAACTTTTTTAGGTTTTTTTTCTTTGTCAAGATGGGCTTTATATATATGATTGAGTTCCCAAAAATCAGAGAGTACAGTACATTAAAATTTTAGCTATGTATAGTACCCGTAAAATCGCAAAAATAAGCACCCATTTTTTGCAAGGGTTCTGGATGAAAAGTTTGGGGAGGTGCTTATTTTTGCGATATTTTTTTATATATATTCTTATGTTTTATTCGTGCAAAATAGGGGGAGGTGCTTATTTTCGAGGGGTGCTTATTTTTGCGATTTTACGGTTAATACTTGTTTATATTAAGTTTTTATTAATCGTTTATATTAATAATATATCCCTTTTTTTTACATTATTACAAAATAATAATTTAATCACATCTTTGCATGGGTACAAATTAGTACTATAAACCAGTAGATCCCTTTTTTAAAAATCACATTATTTATAATAATGATTTAAATGTGATACAATATAAATTATAAATAATTTTTTTTTTATTTTGTTTAATATAAACCCTTTTTTTTTATATTATTACAAAAATAATCTAATTATCACACCTTTACATGGGTACAAATTAGTACTATAAATCAGTAGATCATTTTTTAAAAATCACATTAATTTTTTTTTACGTCGAATTTTTTTTTTTTTTTGTTTAATATAAACAATTTGCATCGACGACTGAATTTACATCATTATACTATTATAGCCAGAACTTGTGTCCATTTTTCTATTAATTGGGACTATTACGCAGGTTCTTTTTTTTATTAAAGGAAAACAAGTAATTTTTATTTACTACGCCATATGTTTAATATAACCGCGAAAACATCTGTTGTGTATTTTTTCTTTTAAATTTCAATGTCCAATATTATACATATACAGTTTTATTTTTATTTTTATTTTTAATATCCATGTGAACTAGATTACAGAAAGATAGACAAGAACTAATTAAAAAAAAGCCAAACGCTATCTAAACTATGCTATAATCAAACCGCCCGAAGACAGTGCCACCTGTTGCGAAATAAAAAAAGGCTGTGGAGGATTAACCGAAGCATTTACTACCACCTTACATCAGAGAAATTGGACTTAGGGGATAAAAAAAAAGAAAAATAAAAACATTGGCAGAAGTAACTATATAATAAAGTGCTGAAATGACTAAACTTTCGTTTAGAAGAAGTTGGGTATTGAGGTCCTCCAGTTGGAGCGTTGAAAAAAGGTGCCACCTATATAAATGAGTCTGTAAGTATTTAGTTAATGACTTAGTGGCATCCGTGTGGTTCAAAAATAAAGCCAACAGGCGTAGTATTAATTCTAATAACCATCAATATTATACATATACAGTATGCGTAAAAAGATTAAAATTGACAGTCAACATGGTCACGTGCTTAATATAAGACTTTTAAAGAAATTCCTTTTTACAAGATTTTTCTTATTTCTTCTTTTTTCCTATTATAATGGTAGCATAGCTGACCGTTAGTGACACTAGGTGGACGTACAAAATGAAAATAATCCAATCATGAAATTTTTTTGGGATTAGTTTATAAACTTGTCTATGTTATGTATTATATACAGTACAAACATACTGTATAAAAAATTTTTTTTTGTAGAAAAAAAAAATATACCTCATAAAATTTTTTTCAAATCCGAAAGTAAAGATCGTATCTTATATACAAAAGATCAACATTGTCAAATCTTGAATATGCAAAGATAATCAAAAAAAAATTATAATTTCTGAATGTGAGATCATTGATAATTTACGTAAATAGTAAATAGTTTACTTTTATTCTTTAAATCTGACTCAGTAAAATTTCAACAATATAAAATATAGTTAGTATATGTATATCGATTATTCTTGGAAATTGAGCAAAGAAAAAAAAAAGAAAATAGGATTAAATTTATTTGTATAGCGACTTTTTGTTTCGAGTTTTTTTAGTATTAAGAAAAAAGTATTTCTTCCTTGTTCCTTCCCTCTTTTTTTTTAAAAAAAACATTGAAAGCTGCGGTCTATCATATTTTAATTTTATAAAAAATTAATGAACTATATCATTAAACCATAAATCCGCATTCCACAAACTAAATAAATTAGAATATGATATGTTTCACTAAAGTTCTCCTATTGTAAGAAAAAGTCATAATATACACATTTTATACCACAAAAAGAAATTAGCTAAAATAATTTTAACAGGTAAGGCCACTCCAATTTAATAGTTTGTTTAACGTACCCCACCCCCCTCATTTTTGAAAAATTTTTAAAAATAAACAAACATATGTTATATCACGTGACTTATAATACTAACATCACCGATCTGTATAATATTTAAAAGAATTTCTTTCCAGTGCATTTGAATCTACCAAAGAAAATATTCCTAGTAGTATAATTAATAAAAGTAATATACGTAAACTTATTAATTGCATTATCTGTAATAAACCAAGATGTATTTTTAGTAAAAATGCATTGAGTGATAAAGAAAAAACTATGTTTATTTTTAAATGTTTACTTAATTTGATCCCCTCCCCCCCCTCAATTTTTATATAAAGTTAGGACGTTAAACAAACTATTAAATTGGAGCAGCCTAACCTGAAACTATGCTGTGTAACCATGAAAATCACGAAATTTCTATAACCCAGGAGTAGTGTTTAGAATCATGTAACAGTTATTCGAATAACTCGAGTATATTCGAGTATTCGAATAAGCATAGTGGTTATTCGAGTATTCATTTAGCCAGATATAGTATAGTTAAAATTCTAATTGAGCATTAAATCCTTAAATTTAACTGAGTTAAAATCATAATTCAGGCTAAAAATTATGTAAATCATTACTATAAAAGGAAATTTAACTTATTCGAATATTATTCGAATACACTTTATAAATTTAAATGAATACTCGAGTATATTCGAATATATTCGATTCTAAACACTACCCGGGAGTTGTAACCACCGTTTATATCGGTTCCACTAAAAATATCCAGTTTACCAGGATATCCGGTATAGCGAAAAAATTTCGATATATTGAAAATCTATTATACTGAATTTTTTTAAAAAAATTCATGCTAATAAAATTAATATACACTATATTTTAATTTTTCATCTTAGTTTTACGTCATAGAGGTCATGAAAATGAATATAAAATATTTTTAATTGAATATATAAGTAATATATAACTTCGGCCGGAATTAAGATTTTTATAATTCTGGCCAAAATTAAGATTCACCGCATCACGTTACTTAAATTTTATTGGTTAATGATCATGTGATCCGGTTTATCGAATCATTTTTACTATAGCTGGTTAGAAAATTGATCCGTTATATCGAATATCGAGCTTTTACTAGTAAACTCCGGTATATCGAAACTATTTTAATATACGTGATCTGATTCCAGCAAAAAAGTCCGGTTTAGGCCCAAATCCGGTTTATATAAGATCCGGTTTATCGAATTTCACTGTGTATAACGCTTTGGTTATGGCGGTTATGGCCCATCATTTGGTGGTGACTTTCTTTAATTGGAGTTTTTGGTGGTTGTTCGAAGGGTTTTTACGAAAAACACATCAAATGGTGTTGATAATTTTTCTGTGGAAGAATACAAAGCATTTAAAATTATTGGATAAATATCTTTTATATTTGTTAATTTATTTATTATATTTTTATTTCTTTTAATAAATTTTCAAACATTTCATGTCACTCACTCACTTTTTGCGACACTCACTATATTTTTATATAAAATTAAGGTTCTTAATAAATTGCGAATATTTATGCAATTTTATTTTCATCGATCAAGTACTCAATTATTATCGACATCACCTAATTTATTTAAATATAAAAATGGTATAATGAGATTTTATTAAATTGTCTACGGGGAATTGATAATCATCTATTCCTGAACGTAACCTTTTACTTTCAGATAGTATTATTAATGATATCGTATTTAACACTATTTTTCACGGTTTTACATGTGACACAATATATCATGATTTTTATTGGTACGACTATATAATTAAGCTCAATAATGGTTCATGACTTTTATCAACAAATTCCGTCATTCCATGGACATTTATACATTTTGAATTTTTAAAATAATACCAAACTAGTTTCGGAAGTATTTAATTTTAATTAAATCTAAGAGTTTACACAGTATGTGGTTACTTAACAATCGTTTCTTAGAGCGTCACGATTACAGTCGTTATACTAATCTAATATATTATTAATTAAAGAATGATGATAAAAGTTAAAGAAGGCTTAAAAGAAAAATGACTATAATTTACTAAAAGAATACTATCTTAATGTATTAAAAATATTACACGCGTTAATTTAATTATAAAAAATAGTGTTAAATAAGTTTATTCTCCTAGCACACCGAGTTTTTTCTCAACACTTTTCATGTTGAGCTTCGATAAAAATGACACCAAATGATTATAATGCTGACATAAATTGCAGGTAAATGAAAATACGAGTAACATTAGTAACATTATAAGTAATACCAAACCAATGATTAATATTCATTTTTAATTTTCACTTTTTTAAAAAATATAATAATAATAATAATAAATTTTAAATTAGATTCTATTCGCTAAAAAGTCTAACAGGGAACTGTTAATTGCAATGAAACTAATCAGTACAATACATTTCATTCGAAAATATTCAATATCAAATCATGTTTATACTTCTCTTTCCTTTTTAATACTTTTAATTTGAATATTAAAACTTGCTGTACGTCGTCACGTGCTGGAGGACAGACGGACATTTTTTTGTGTCACCTTTGCATAGAAGTACCAGAATTGTAAAATTCCCTCCGCCACGTTATGTTGTTCAAACCTACGTATTTACTAATTCGTTTTTAAAGAAATTTAGCATGTAGTGTAATTGGCGTAAATGCCGATTTATGCCAAATTTGGTATAATTAAGAAAGAATGTAAACTAATTTAATTTAATATATATGTTGTGCCTCAGATTGATTCTTGCCTCAGATTAAAACTACCAATAGGATGTGACGAATTATGTATATACACGTGATGATCTACATAGTAAAATTACCATATATGTAATGCACGTGATCTGGTGTTGATCTCACGGCCATACATTTATTTATAGTACTTAGTTTTTATTTTTTATTTTTAAAGTGTTAGAATTACTAGCTCGTCAAATTAATATCTGCGATGGTCTGGTTCTTGGAAGTAAAGCTGCTACCCTCTTGCAGTGCCTTTAACTTTACGAATACTTCGCACGAAACACGTAATTTTTTATTAAAAAACAGTTTTATTTCAGTTTAAATGTCAACGCAAAATATATATAAAAGTAAAATATAATAAATAAGTAAATAAATTTGATCAAAATAAATAAATTAAAAAAAAAATTTATGACATTAAGTTAAAATCTAATATTTTTAAAATAACAACTTAAACACAAAATCATGTATCATGCATTGTGGCTAACTATAATTACAAATTTAGTTAGGTGTGTCGATCTCAAAATATATTTTCCTTAGTAAGAATTCTGAAATTCTGTATCTTGAATATTATCAGAAATAGTTCCGTTTACTGAATTTGAAGCTGCATTATAAGCGTTATTATTATCTGAATATACTTGAGAAGTAGGTTGAATTGTAGTATCAAAAAATTGTTGTTGAACATTATTTTGTTGTTGATAAACGGGTTGTTGGTCTTGTTGTTGAATTTGTTGTCGAATCAAAGATTGAATATTATAATGATGTGGAAGCTGATGATCAGGAATGCGAGATAAATTAATGCTGTTATTCAAGAGTCGTGCATTTTCTAATGGATGTAATTCGGTATATGTAACGTAATAAATACGTGCACTGTTTGGTAAAGGAAAGTAAAATTCAAATGTATCGTTATGAAGTGCGGGCAAAGTATTAATAATGAAGGTATTAGACATTTCTACATTGTTAATGGAAGTGTGTTGGTCATTGTTATTATTATTATTATGAAAAAGCACGGAGATAGTATCAGCTTGATACGTTGGTAAATCAGAATAATCTTGAGAAGTTGGATTATTTGAATTCATTTTTATAAATAAATTTTTAAATTATAATTAAATATTTGTGAAAATAATGTGTGGAAATTTTATTTATTTTTTATTTTTGATCTTTATGAAGAGAATTTTTTGGAGTATGGTAGATGAAAAAAGGAAAAAATGAGAAATTTATATCAAAAAAAAAAGTACAAAGTACGTGAATTACTGTAAGACGAAAGAATATCATTTTCATTATTCTATTATTGAATTGAAAACTTTTGTGATTGTTTCAAATTTAATAAAAATGCGCGTGAGTTAATAATTACGGGGGGAAAAATACATTAAACTTTTAATTTTTATATTATTTATTTATATATGAATAAGAAAAAATGGGGCGGGGATTGCCAAAAAAATGTGTGTAAGTTAATAATTACGGGGGGTAAAAATACATTAAACTTTAATTTTTATATTATTTATTTATATATGAATAAGAAAAAATGGGGCGGGGATTGCCAAAACTTGTCAAACGGTAAACAAACAAAAAAAACACTACATTTCATGATATCTATGATATCTATAAATAACCATATAATTACGCAATTTCACTATTTAGTGTCGATCAAATCATATGACAAGAATTGTCCTACTCGGACAATTATTTGTGTCGCCTTCATACTAATTTACAAAAATTAGCTGAGTTTATAAATTACCAGGAATCTTCGTTTACTTATTTCCCGGCCTCATATAGATAGCCGGGAAATTACTAATTTTAGTTTAAAATAGTTAATATTTAATGTATTCTTACAAATACATCCAACTATTAATTATCATAGATCCGGTTTATCGAATTTCACTGTGTATATAACATATTTTTCAAATTTTATACGACTTAAAATATAACTTTCAATATCATCACTATCTTTAAAAGAGAATATAAAACTATCTTTAGTAGAGTTAAAAGCTTCATCACAACTTTCACTAAACTCATTAGATTCCCATGTAATAGAATGATTGTTATAGTATGAGATTGATTGTCACAGACTTCATGAAATTTTTAGATGTAAATCCATCACGAGTTCCACGAAGTAATAACTTGAATTCGTACGCATTTTCTATTCATCCGTAATTTCTAATTTGTCGATCCATTTTGAGATTAATATTGAGTTGTAATGATTTTGGAATCAATATTCATACGAGATTACTGATAGGTTATTAGGTTTCATAATAAATCATTCTTATATATGTTGTGCCTCAGATTGATTCTTGCCTCAGATTAAAACTCACGCTGCGTGAGATCAACACCAGATCACGTGCATTACATATATTGTAATTTTACTATGTAGATCATCACGTGTATATACATAATTCGTCACATCCTATTGGTAGTTTTGAATCAACAACATATATACTTTATCCGAAAACTCTTCAAAAGATAAATTATGAAATTGATAAATGGAATACATTGGCTAATATTATTCTTTAAAGTTTTGAAATCTTTGTTATTATTGTTACCACCGATTTATGACGTTTGGTAGGTAGTAACAGAAATAAATATAAGGATCGGTTAATGAATGATAACAAGTGGTAAGGTAAATAATGGTATAGATAAATAATGATATATAATAAAAGGTTAATAAACGATAACAAACGATAGTGAATGATAATAATCAATATGACAAATTAAAGGTAGATCGGAGTGGGTGTATATAATAATAGTCAATAATGTAGTGTATACAGATAATCAACGATGTATAACGAAAAATTAGTAAGTGATAATAAAAAAAAAACAATGATAATAAATGATATGGAACGATAATAAACAATATGATAATATGTGATAAAACGTGTATAAATAATTCGGAAGCAAATCGACAGGTTTATTCGTTAATAAAAAGAATACGATATTACTGCCTCAACCGGCGCTCTGTAATATCTGGATATCTATCTTATAACAATAAAACTAGACGAATTCTAAACTGAACTAGAACTTTATCTTCCAACATCGGCCCTTTATATAATGTTAAATTTTTAGGACGAATCTGTCCTTCGGACATAATTGTCTCCCGGCCAATAATTGTGGCGATCCGGGCACGTTTGTCTATACAGCCACCTATATTCAGCCACTTTACATCGCTAAGCTTCCACTTTTTATCTAATCCATAAACAACTAAAAACAACTACAGGTAATATATCTAAAAATAACTAAAAATAACTAAAAGATAAAAATAGAATAATAAATAAGATAAAAAGAAATATCCCGTGACATTATCGATCTGCGTCGAAGTCACGTGATAGTAACGATTTGTGTTATGTTTATCGTAAAATAAAGTGAAACAAAGTATATATGTAAATTTAAAACTTATATGTATAATTTTAAAGTGTATATTTATTCTAATAAACAATAACTTAAAATATTAGATACAAATTACTGTATTCCAGGTATAAATTATACTATACTGTTACGCCGCCGATCATTTAGATTACCTGCGAATTTCCACTTTCTTTTGAAAAATTTGTAAGATCAGAAGGAAGTTCTTGATTTTGAGCATGTCCCCATTTAACCATATGTTTCCATACTTGAATTTCGTCCATCTGAAGATTATCACTTTGAATAATTGTGATCAAAAGTTTTTCTGGTAGTGTTTGGAATCATATAACAGTTATTCGAATAACTCGAGTATATTCGAGTATTCGAATAAGCATAGTGGTTATTCAAGTATTCATTTAGCCAGATATAGTATAGTTAAAATTCTAATTGGGCATTAAATCCTTAAATTTAACTGAGTTAAAATCATAATTCAGGCCAAAAATTATGTAAATAATTACTATAAAAGGAAATTTAACTTATTCGAATATTATTCGAATACACTTTATAAATTTAAATGAATACTCGAGTATATTCGAATATATTCGATTCCAAACACTATTTTCTGGAATTGAAGAAAAATTTAAAGATTTGAATATCTTATCCGGTTCTTTAGACGTTAAATCAGTACAAAATTTTTGTAATTCCAAGAAAGAATCGTTCTCAAAACTTTGTTCCTCAATTTGATAAAATTTTTTCGTTAGTAGCGTAGAATAATAACTTCCTCCCTATAAGAAATGATGAGCAATTTATTTTCATTATGTATGACGTAATATTTGATTATTTGTATGTTTTATATTTCCGTGTTTTTTCCGTGAATATATCATTTTCATGGAATTTATAGCCTTAAATCATGTAAATTTTCATCTCTCTAATACGGATATCCGTAAATGTATCATTTTCACGGAATTTTTACGAATGCCACGGAGAAACAATAGATAAAAATTTTTTTATAGGGCCTAATTTCTTTTTCAAATAGAGTTTTACTTGTACTTTTTTTAATCATCACTTTACATGCTTACGTGACGGGTAAAATATTCATATAATTTCTTAAATTCTTTTCTCCATTTTTTTTAATAAACCATAAATTGAGGAGCAAGATTCATAATTAATTATTAATGTTGTCAGAAGTTATCTAGAAAAAAAAAGGTGACACTCGACGATTTCTTTTCTTTTAATCTCAAATGTAACATACGCCGATAAAAAAAAAAAAATATTTATAACGGTCGAGCAGATAAGTCGTATGTAATAACTGTAATTAAGGATTACAAAAATTAACGAAAATGAAGGAGAACATTATTCCTCATCATTTAGTACCGGAGAAGCTGTTTATCCCGTTATTCATCTACAAAAGAAAGAAAGTTCCATATCAATATTTGGCGCAGGTTATTTATATCTCGAAATTTTATTTTATAATATTCAAATTAATTGCATTAATAAAAACTTTGGATAAATGAATAGAATAAATGAAAAATACTAATTTGAACATTAAATTTCAATCTGATAAAACTATATTAGGAATCTTTTAATGTTTCTTGATAAAGCATAATGAGTTGTTTATTTAATTAATTACATTTAGAATAATCTCTTTAATGGTAATTTATTTATCGGAATCTTATTCCTACGAAAGTTCTTTATTATTTCTCAATGAATTAACTTATTTTGGTTTCTCCATCATTCCCAATAATTTTATCATATCGGATTATTTCTTGTTAATTGATACATAAGTGTGAAACTGGTTGTATTAGAGAATTTTTTTTTTAAAAAAAAATAGATATATAATTTGTAAATTCATTAACACTAAACTTACAATATCTTTATCATATGATCGAAAGGATTTTTTAAAAAATATAGAAAATCTTTGTTTGAATTTGAATGTTAAATTTCTTTAACGTGCTACTAGTTAATATTTTTCCTAAGAATGTTATCATGGAAAACTTTGCACAATAATTCAAAATCAAATATTCTTAAAAAAATTAGATATATATATCAAATTATTTATTTAGTTATGTTTATATGAAATCAATTTAATAAATTAATAAAGTGAACAAATCGGTTTATGGTTTATATAACATGTAATTTCTATTTGTTGCTGATTTAGCCAAGTCTTTAAAAACTTGTTGTCACCTGATCACCACGTTGAGGTGCAGCAACATTGATCAGGGGGAAAGGGGAAAACGAAAGGGAAGGGGAAAATGAGAGGGAAAGGGAAATACAAAAGAGAAAGGGAAAGACGAAAGGGAAAGGGAAAACGTGAAGGAAGGGGAAAACGAGAGGGAGAGGGGAGAACGTGAGGGAAAGGGAAACGAGCGAGAGGGAAAGGGGAGAACGTGAGGGAAAAACGAAAGGGAAAAACGAAAGGGAAAGGGAAAGAGAAAAAAAGGAAAGAGCGAGAGAATACACAAAAATACACATACCACCCACCATCCACATACAATACAAACCCACAACCCACATACCTAAAGGAAGATGTAAAGAAAAGGGGCCTAAGAGAAGACCTAATAAAGAGAAGACCTAGACAGAAAAGATAGAAAGAAGATAGGCCTAAAAAAAAGAAGATAAAGAAGACCTAAAAAAAAGATGACAAAAAAAAAGAACCTAAAAATATTGAGACATTTATATTATTTAAATTACATACTCGATTACTCATGACGAAACCCACATTAAGATTATGTAATTTTATAGATTTATATTTTATATTTAGACTTGCCATCAAGTTTTTACATTATTAATAAAAATATATTACTAAGATCTTATGTCATAAGTTGCAATTTTTTTCGCATGAGTAACTTTTTTATTCATATGATCGATATGAGTAATTATATTTGTTATTCTATATCATCACGTGCCGGACGGACAGTAGTGGACCTTTGCATAGAAGTATATAGTCCTTCGTTACACTTCGGACTAATAAATACTGAGAACCTAGATATGCTTACATGAACGAGATAAAAAAAAATAAAATGTCCATTGAGGATTATATATTATCGTAATATCACTTTAGAATCGATCTTTCGAAATTTGCTTCAAGAGTATTGACGCGGGAATGTCCGACAAAATAATTTTTTTATTGTTATTATAAGAAATTTATGTGAGTTAGTTTTCCCACAGGTGTCGCCGATTTATTTTTCAGAAGTTTATAAGCACGATCGGTATTATAATTTCTATATACTTTCCAACCTTTCTTCCCTTTATAATTTTGCGTTAACGAAATCAGAATTTCTCCAATACCATAATGTTCATGATGTAAAATTAATCATATGAATATAAAGAGTTTTAAATCTAAGCAGGTACAAAAAAATTTTTCCAAAAAAAGACCGAAATAATTTTCTGTATTAAATGCATAATTTACTTTGAATGATTTATTAAATTTTACATTAAAAAATTTACAAAAATATGATTGCAATTTTTTCCGAAAAATATGATAGTTACTATCGATTAAAAAATATATTAGATATTAAATAATAAACAATTTAATTTTAAAATTCTTTTTGTTAATTGGATTTTGAAAACATAACAAAATAATTGTGAATAATTTTTATAAAAAAAAAAATAAATTTATTTTATTGAACATTTTTGTCCTAATTATAAAAAAAAAACCAAGAAAATAAACAAAATAATCGAAAATTAATGAAATGTAATAATCATAAAAAAAAAAAAAAAATGAAATGAAATGAAATAAATTCAATGAAAAGATATAAATAAATAAACTTCACATAAGAAAATTAAAGTTGAACTTTCATTTGCAAAGCTAAATTTTTTATATTACTCTCAGTTTATAAAATAATAATACTATTGATAAGGACCGTTTGGTTATGTTAAAAAATTTATAGTAATGTTATATTTAAAATTAAATATTTTAGCTTAGCCATATAAAGAATAAAAAATGAGTTATCATTCGAACCTTAAAGTAAAATAAAAAAAGAAGAGGAAATAGCTCGTTTATTTTACTCGAAAAATGTATTAATAGAGTCCTTAGCTCTTAGGGGGAATTCTGGAATCCATCTTGCATACTGTAAGAAACAGTTCCGTTTACTAAAATTGAAGCAGTAGGTGTCATTATTTGAATATACTTGGGAAGTAGATTGAGTATAGAAGGATTGTTGTTGAATATCATTTTACTGATAAATAGGATACTGGACTTGTTGCTGAATCTGTTGTTGAATTAGGATTGTAATTATAATGACGTGACAACTGGTAATCAGGAATGTGAGATAGATTAATTCTATCATTCAAGAGTCTCACATTTTCTAATGGGTGTAATTCGGTATAGCGTTTCTCCTAAGTCCATTTCACCGGAGGACTTGTCGCAGAAGCCATTTCATCGAAAGGATGTTTCGGTCATTTCGTCGAATGGAAATTTCTCTGAATGGACATTTCGCCGAATACTTTTCTCCGAATCATCTATTTCATCACCAAATAGGTCGGTCATTCCGAAAATGTTAGCGATTGATATCCTATCATTAAAATTCAATCTAATACCCTATTTTTTTTATTATAAATATAATGAAAATTGCTAAAGCTCACCGGTGGTGACCAGCATTATGATGTACTTTCGACCAGAATTAAAAATCTAATAAAATACTGCCCAGCATTACTACATCACAATTTCACCACCGGTAATGTTTAGCAATACCCAATATTAATTATTAATAATGTTTTTAGTAATAAAATTTCGTAAATATCATATGAATATTCGGAAAATATGATTTCAAATTTTCGGCGTAATGACTTCGGTAAAAAGTCCTTTGATAAAATTTCGTGTGGCGAATTTGTAAGATGAATATTTTATATTACATTTATAGTCAGGAATCAGGATGCTCTAATTTGGATAGCCTAATTAAACATAGGTTCGAAACCCGATACGGAATAACATTGTCATTTTTTTTAATTGATTTTAATTATTTTTAATGACCCCCTATAAAAAAAAATTTCCGATAAATGATCATTTTTCTAGTTTTTATTCCGAAGAAACTCAGTACACGTGACCATAATTTTTCTGAAAAATTTTTTATAGGGACAGCGTAATGCAATTTATTAATCAGGTATCGTGGAATAATTTAATTATTTTTTTAATTAATCGATTAATGAAAAAATAATTAAATGTTAAATATCTTAACTATATTTAATAGAAAAAAAAATAAAGTTGTTTATCATACGGTATACCCGCAAAAATATGAATCCCGACCATGCACGTTGTCGATCACATATATTACAATACACCATGAATAGGATCGACATACGTGACGGGAAGATGCTTCATGCCCTGTAAAAAAAGTCTATCTTTTTTCCGTAAAAGGCTCATATTTCCGGTTCCGGAATTAATAAAAGGCTCATTTTTACGGATAATATTTTCTATAGGTAAAATGTATAAATAATGGCATGAAAACGCATATTAATGATTTTAATAATAATATCATTGTAAAAAATAATATTCTTTATTTTCTTTATTTTTTTTTTTACGACAAATTAAAAACTTCACTTTTCTTTCCATATCATTCTCAGAATATGTTTGCTCAATTATATATTATATATATTTTCTTTTTGGTTTCAGCTGCAGTAGGAATACCTGTAGTAAATTTACAAAATCAGACTTTTAGTACTGATGGTCTTGTACCCACTAGGCCTAAATGCACTGATCCTAATAATGCTAAATATAAAAGCTCCGTTTGCGCTACAAGGAAATTAGCGAGGGTTTCATGTGAATCTAATGATAATCCAGGCACAGTTGTAGATACTAATTTTAGCTGTGGAGATGGCGAATCTTGTGTTGATATTACTTCAAATGATGTATTATGTGTTGACGAAAACAATGCTCTAGTATGGGAAAATAATCATTATTCTGGATTTGCATGTTCAGCACCTGTTTTATTAGTGCCACCACATGAGTCTTTTCAACTTGTAGCTGGAATGACAACATATTCAACAACTGGGGATCCAATACAAGTAGTTGTGCTATTAGCAAAATATGGCGATAACGAATCACGTGAATTTGTAGGACACCAAAATAATTTCACCTTCGCTATTAATCAAGGAAATTTTTCTAAAAATTTGAGTTTCTGCTTCGCTGCAGGCAACGAAGAGGAAATACAAGCTGTAGCTTCTCTAGGATATGTTCTTCTCTAGGATATGTTTTAATATGATGGATGATTTTGTTTAACACCAAATATAAGTGTGAGCAAGCTGCTTTAAATTCTTTTTATAAAATTTGAAATTTAATGAAATCTTATTATAAAATTAGATATAATCTCTATATTTTTGATTGCAATTAATTTTTTAATAAAAATTATTAAATCAAACACTGGTGTTCAACATTACAGTCATACGTATTATTTATTTTTATTACTTATAATATAATTTTTATTATTCTATATTTAGGCCATTCCAATTTAATCTTTAGTTTAACGTCCTCCCCCCCCCTCTATTTTTGAAAAATTCAAGGGTGATTTAAACATATATGTTTGATATGTTTAAATATGCCCCTCCTTTACTAAAATTTAATAGTACCGAGAATTTCCGATTTTACCAAAAATTTCCGAAATTTTTAATATGTTTAATTTTCATGTTTGTTTAAATTATCCCTTCCCCCCCTCAAAATTTTTGGCCGGAAAGGACGTTAAACTAATTATTAATTTGGAACGGCCTTATTAATAGACTAATTTAAATGTTTTCATTAATAAAATGTTATAATTCACATTACAATAATTAATGCATACATATACATATGGGCCGATTTGATGCATTAAGTAGTAAATTTGTTATTTATTAAAATTTTTGTTAAAAAATTTTAATGAAGTATTTTTTTTTTTATATAACAATAATGGTAAAGAGTAACAAATTTACTTTAGTTACAAAATTATCATTTTTGGCAAGATAGTATAAAGTTATAATAATAATAATCGAGGTTCCTTAATGTACATTGAGGGTGTACGATATTAACGTACAAACTGGCCGGAATTACCATAATTTTAGCCAAATTTCCCTTAAAATATCCAATAATATCCATTTTATGCGTTGAATCAGCTCATATGCTGTACTTCACAAATATTTTTCTTAGTTTTTCGATTTTTTTTTTATTTTACAATATTTGCGGTATAAGAAAAAAAAAAATAAAATATATTTTTTTTTAAACCGAAGATTGAGTTTGTGAGATAGATTTTTCTAATGGGTGTAATTCGTTATTACTGATACCCGTACCATTCCGAAATTAGACAACCCCCCGAAAACAAGCAACCCCGGCCTGCATTATAGCGATTTTGACCAGGATTATGACCACTTTGGCCAGAATTAAGTTCAAAAAAATGGTTGTGATCAATTTCACGTGATAATCAACATTGATCAGCCAATAAATTGCAAATGGCCGATTTCACGTGATATAAGAAATTACGCGGACAAAAAAAAAGAAAACTTTATTTTTCATAAATTTACAGGTAATTACCTCCTGACCTGGGATGAAGTCAAACGAAATAATAACAATAATTTTAGCGGACCCAAACCTAAATGGTTTAAACACTTAGAAGATAATTACATTTTAAGCAATTATCGAAGATTAACTTATCCGTTAAAAGATCATTATAATATCCCAAAACGATTACAGAAACCTCCAACAAAATCTTTAAGTAAACACAAAAAGTTCAATGAAGGACTTATCATTGGAATGCATCCATACAAAATTGCGTTATCGGTAAATCTCTAATACAAGATACCGACACACATTCTTCAATTACCACAATAGAACATTACTAATTCTTCACTTAACCAAATTTCACCAAATAATTCTCCACGTTCAATTCCGCTTTGTTTAATACCTTGTCCGGGTTGTCGTTTAAATGACATATACCTTACTAGTTATGATACCCGAGTTAAATGTACAATTAATTCTCGTACGGATAGATTATCCACTTTTAATATTTATCATATGCATTCTTCGTCATCTGAACATAAAAAATACAAAAATGCCATTCATGGAATATTATATCAGCACAAAACCACTTCATTTACTTAGACACAGTGCCCATATCATTCATTTAGCTAGTCATAATATAATTACCCCTTCTCTTACTTCCAAACCTTTACGTCCGTCATTAGATACTACGTCGGATACTTTCGAAATTTCTTCTGCTATTATTAATTCTGCTCTCCTTTGTGACAATTCTATTAAAATTATCCTTAAAGATATAGCCTTTCAATTTATTAACTTTAATTATTTTCAATTTTTTTCAGATGGTTCTGTCTCAAATATAGGAACTACAGATAGTAAATCTGGTTTTGGATGGATACAAACTAATCCTACAATTCCTGGACTTTCTTTCAAAGGCTCGATAATTTTTTCCCGTCCTCTTTCAAAAGTGAAAGTCTAGCTATTCTAACAATTTTAATTGTATTACCACAACATTCAACTTGTTTTATCTATACGGATTCCCAAAATTGTATTGATACATACAATACTCGTTTGAACATGCCGACTATCAGCCCGCGTCGAAGACTCAAACAAAATAATTTTTTAATTTGGGATTTAATATTCTGGATTATAGCTCATAACAAATTAACTATTCAGTTATTGAAAGTAAAAGCTCATAGCAATAACAAATATAATGATATAGCCGATGATTTGGTGAAACAAGGTCGTTATATTTCCGACCCTATCCTTATCAATCACAAATTCTTTCATCAATCGTCTTTAGGTCTTATTAATTTATACAACAATATTTATATTGTTGACCGTAACGTCTGCAAATGGAGTGACGTTCCAATACAATCAAGAAGTTTCAACATGGCAATGAATAATTCAGCGCTTTCACCTATTAATCATTAGATTAAACATGGCCTCATAGACTGGGATTACACTAAAAAATGGATTAATTATAACCCTCTAGATTCTCCCACGTCAGAAAAACTTAGAAATATTCAAGTTGATAAAGTTAAAAAGGCTACTTTCAACTACCCTACAGGAAATATTTTACAACGAAACTACCCAGACCTGTATCCTCTAGGGCGCATTAAATGTACCAATTGTAATACATATGAAGATTCGAATGCACACATCGGACTTTGTCCTAAACATCGTACTTTTATTTCATCTTTATTAGAAAAATACAAAATTAAACTTATAGAGCTAATTAGAAACAACAACGATAGTAGTTTCACATTTGATATAGAATCAAGCATTAATGCATCAAATATGTTCAAATTATTACCAGATATTTTAAATCTGGCGTTATTACCAGATGAACCTTCTTCAAATTCTTCAAATTTAACTATTGTTCCATGTGAACAACCGTGGATACTTTTATTACATCATTTAATTCCAATCGACCTTTCAACTTTTTTTTATAGTTATTACAGCAAAAAATGCGACCGTGATCGCTATTTTATCAAATTTCTATCAGACTTTACTACAGAATTGAAAATTCTCACATGGTCCTCACGTTCCCTTTCTTTTAAAAGGTGGGAAAAATCGTTGAACATCACATCCAAGAAAAAAAAGAATTATCATCATTTACGACTTTCATCTCGGCAAACTCTTTTGCCTCCCACCGATCTTAATCGCCGCATACCGACTTGATCACGTGGGAATTATACACACTATTACTATAATAAAACTTTACCGTATTTTAAACACATCGTCAATATAGACGATTCCGCTAGTATTAGATGGACAACCTGTAATTTTTTACATAGTGGTACTTGGGAATCTTATAGAGACATTCTATTATATGCACCTTGTAATTATTTACCAGATTTATCGTTCCTCAGATCCCCATAGTCTACATTTTTCTTCTTTATTTTTTTTATCCTACAGCCTTTTCTCTAGTGTAAGGTGGTAGGGGAGGCTTCGGTTGACCCTCCACGGTTCTTTTATATTTTTCGCACCAGGGTGGCGCTGTCTTCAGGCGGTTTGATTATAGCATAGTTTAGATAGCGTTTGACTTTTTATTGTAATTGGTTCTTGTCTATCTTTCTATAATCTTGTTCACATGGATATAAAAATAAAAATAAAAAAATAAAATTTTTCGTAAATTTACAACATTCACAATAAGTAAAAATTTTTACAGACTAACCACCAGCTGTGTACATTCTCACAATATAAAAATCATTCAAATTAAATCGATAATCTCTTAAAAATTAATAGCTAAGCTCCCTGTAATTCAATTTGAACAATCTTTGATTTTTCTGAAGAGAAAACGGTGTTCTTTCTAACAAATATAAATCATCATGACCATTACGTCTATATATAGTTATGGATATTTTAAAGATGCATAACCTTATTATTATATAAATAATATAAAATATTCAGTTTGGCTTATAAAACCTATAATAAATAAATGATTAATTAATAATTAATGACTTATAAGTGCTATGCAGTTATTTAAACAATGAAATTTTATATTTTAAGGGTTTAACTTTCTTGTTTTAAGGCAATAAACTTACAATAAAAAATATTTCCATTATTTTACTAAAGAAAAGTCTCTTGTAAAGCCTCTTCATTTATTTTTCGTAAATAACTAGATCAACTGGATGAGACAATTGAATCTGACGCTCAAGACACTAAAGTTTCAGAAAAACTAAGTTTTATTACATGCTAATTAGTGAGGTATGCTGTTATACATATGACATAACGGTATTTATATACTAGGATATGCAAAATGAGATCTGCAAAATGATCGACGGTGTAACATTAACGATTTATATCTTGATTTTCACCAGAGGACTTCGCAGAAGCCATTTAATCGAAAGGATGTTCCACCGAAGGGTCATTACTGAGTCATTTTGTCAAATGGAAATTTCTCTGAATGGACATTCGCTGAATACTTTTCTCCGAATCATCCATTTCACCGACATCAAATAGGTCTGTCATTCCGAAAATGTTAGCGATTGATATTCTATCATTGGGGTTCAATCTAATACCCTATTTCTTTATTAATAAATATTAATTATTAACAACGTTTTTAGTAACAAAATTTTCGTAAATAACATATGGATATTTTGGAAAAATATGATTTAAATTTCGGCGAAATAAGTTTCGGTAAAAATTCTTTCGGCGAAATGTTCATTCGGTAAAATGGCTTCGGTAAAATGTATTTCGGTGAAATACACTTCGGTGAAAAGTCAGGATACTCTAACTCGGATATCCTAATTAAGCATAGATGATAGTTTACCCAAATAAGGATCGTAATCCCGATTGATATTATTAAATATTATTAATCAACGGAATACTATTTCATTTTTTTAATTAATTTTCTTTAATGACCGTGTAGTACAAGTTATTAATCAGGCTCGCGGAATTACAAAAATATAATTAAATTATTTTTTAACTTTATTTAATAAAAATGAATTTGTTTATCATACCCTGTAAAAAGCTCATATTTCCGAAATTAATAACCTCATCACAGAATTTATCGAATTATTTACATTTTCCGTTGAATAAGTCCGTGAAAGGCTCATTTTTACGGTTAAAATTTTTTATAAGGATAACTTGGTAAAATGTATAAATAGTGGCATGAAAATGCATATTAATGATTTTAATAATATCACTAAAAAATAATATTCTTTATTTTTTCTTTTATTTTTTTTTTTACAAGAACAAATTAAAAACTTAACATTTCTTTCCATATCATTCCCAGAATATGTTTGCTCAATTATATATTATATATATATTTTTCTTTTTGGTTTCAGCTGTTGTAGGAATACCTGTAGAAAATTTTCAAAATCAGACTTTTAGCACTAATAGTATTATACCTACTAGGCCTAAATGCACTGATCCTATTTATACTAAATATAAAAGCTCCGTTTGCGTTACAAGGAAATCAGTGAGGGTTTCATGTGAATCTTATGATCTTCCAGGCACAGTTGTAGATACTAATTTTAGCTGTGGAGAAGGCGAATCTTGTATTGATATTACCTCAAATGACGCATTCTGTGTTGACGAAAACAGTGGTCTTGCTCAAGAATGGGAAAACAATCATGTTGATGGAAGAGTATGTTCAGCACCTGTCTTATTAGTGCCACCAGATAAATCTTTTAAACTTGTAGCTGGAATAACAGCATATTCAACAACTGGGGACCCAATACAAGTACAATCGCTATCAGCAAAATATGACGATAAAGATTCAGATGATTATACAGAACAAAAAAATAAATTCAGCTTCAATATTAAACAAGAAAATTTTTCTCATTATATAAAATTCTGCTTCGCTGCAGGCACTCAAGAGGAAGTACAAGCTGTAGCTTCTCTAGGATATGTTCTTCTCTAGGATATGTTTTAATATAATGGATGATTTTTTTATGTTAATTATTTTACATTATAAACAGAATATATAGTTTTTTTTTAATGTATGGTTTTGTTTAACACCAAATATAAGTGTGAACAGACTGCTTTAAATTCTTTTTACAAAATTTGAAATCTTATTATAAAGTTTGATATAATCTATATTTTTGATTGTAATTAATTTTTTTTAACAAAAATTATAAATCACACCACTGATGTTCGACACCATAGTCATACGTATTATTTTATCTTTTTATTTATTATATAATTTTTATTATTCTATATTTATTAATAGACTAATTTAGATGTTTCCATTAATAAAATTTTTATAATTCACATTACAATATTTAATACATACATATAATAATGTACTTCACAAATATTTTTCTTAGTTTTTAAATTTTTTTTATTTTGCAATATTTGCGGTATAAGAAAAAAAAACAATTTATTCTTTTTTGGAGATTGAGTTTAAAAGTACTGATTGTATAAATTCGGTCATAATAACATATATTCTATAATCTATGTCGTCATTTTGCCTACTTGCTATTATTTTACCGACATCACATTTTTCCGAAACCACTTTAACGAATCCCTATTTTGGTGACAAAGGCCATTTTGCCATGTTCAACACGGTATTTGACGATCATGAAATTTTGCCTTACGAAAGCAAGAAAGATTTTCAATGATATAAATTTTTTTGTTTTAAAATCTTGCATTATTAATGCATTTTGTAATCAGTTTGTTACGGCAGTCGCCCGCCAGCACATATGGGCAGATTTGGTTCACTTTGATGATCGACATTCGCCAAATCCGCCCATATGAGTCCAGCATTATGATGTACTTTGGGCCAGAATTAAAAAATATAATAAAACGCTGGCCAGCATTACATCATAAATTCACCGGTGATATTTATATATTAATTCTTTTATACTGTATATTAATATTTTTCTCATTGATCTAATAATTTGACTTTGTCAAATTTTTCACGCGATCTTTTTCAGTATAAATAAAACACGACTGGTTTTTTAACTTCTATATACTTCTCACTCTCTTCCTTTCTTTAATTTTGCATTAACGAAATCAAATTTTCTTCCAATACCATAATGTTCATGTAAAACAAACCATATGAATTATCTGATATAAATAAAGAATTTTAAATAAAAGAAACAATAACTCAAAAATCATATATCAAAAAATTATTAATAATTACTAGAAAAAAAAAAATCTAAATAATTTTCTATATTAAATACATAATTTACTTTGAATAATTTATTAAATTTTACGTTAGAAAATTTATAAGAATCAATAAATTTTACAACTCAAAATTGTAACAATATTTATATTACTAATAAAATACGCTTTTGATTAAAAAAATATATTAGGTATATTAGATATTAGAATAATTAACAATTTTAATTTTAAAACTCTTTTTGTTGGATCAACAAAATAATCCCCTGTCGCACTATGATCACCTTTCATACTAATTTTTAAAAATTGCGAGTGATTAGCTGAGTTTATAAATGACCGGGAATCTTCGTTTAGTTATTTCCCGGTCTCATATAGATAGCCGGGAAATTACTAATTTTAGTTTAAAATAGTTAAGTTTAAAATAGTTAATATTTAACGAGTGACACGCTTCAGTGGATTACCCATGAAATAAATAATACTAATTTTTATAAATAAAAATAAAATAAAATTTATTTTTATTGAACATTCTTATTCTAATTATAAAAAAAAATCAAGAAAATAAAACAAAATAATCGAAAAATAATGAAATGTAATAATAATCAAAAAAAAAATGAAAATAAAATGAAAAGAAATAAAATAAATAAGAAACTAAAGTTGAATTTTCATTTGCAAAAGCTAAATTTCTACCCTCAGGTTATAAATTAATATTGATAAGGACCATTCGGTTATGTTAAAAAAATTGTAGTGATGTAAAATCAAAGCTAATTTATTAACTTAAAATTAAATACTTTAGCTTAGTTGTATAAAGAATTTATCATTTCATGATGGAACTTTATTTCGAACTTAAAAAAAAATAAAAAAGAGGAAATAGTTCCTTAGCCCTTAGGAAGAATTCTGAAATCCTGATACAAGCTCAATTCATATACTAACTACTATGTAACCCTCATAAATTGATAAAAATAAAAAGAAGAAAACTACGATGTAATAATAAAATAAATAAAATAAGATAGAACTAAGAAAAATACTAATCTAATATAAAACCAAAATTAAATCACTAGCTAAAGTAAAATAAAAATAACCCACCCTATAGAAACTGTGGCTTCGTTATACCAATTTTTTAGAATTTCCACATAAGTATAAATGTCAGACTCAAAAGTATATTCTTTTCCAATTATAAATAGCAGCCATAACAAAATTTCAAAGAGATTCTCCCACACTCATTACACAAAAAAGTGATTAGTAACGACGTGACTATCAATTTATCGTAGGATAGAAAACAAATTTTTGAAAGTTAAATTAAATAAACAACATTATGAAGCCTCTGGCTTTTTGTTTAATGTTGAGTATTGGGTATTGAAGAATTGGGAAGTTGGCTGTGGAAATATTGAAGTTTTAAAATATATATATGTATGGCTTGAGTACGTTAGTGAGAGAAAAAAAAATTTTTTACTCTTAATTACTCTTAATTAAAATAAAAAGAATATGCCCGCAAAATCTCCACGATGTGTTACATTCACGAATTCACTGAACAGCTTACTCAGGAGTTTACAGTGAAGGAAATTACAGCCGTTGCAAGATTGATTTTGATTATTAAATGTATTAAAAATATCAATCATTTGTTAGACATGTAAAATTTGTCACATTAATTTTTTAATTTATTGTATTTTTTTTTAAATAATAAATAAAATTAAAACAATACATCAGGTGAAACGTTTTATTTTCCTTCATTATTCTAATGATGATTTACACCATTTACGATAATCTTGTATAAAAATAAGCATCCTTACATTTCTAAAATTTACGAACTTTAATTTATTATTAAAATATAATATGCTCCGATCCCCGATCGTTGATCTCGTGATGCTATTAATTAATACGCCCAAATTTGTTTCCATCAGTCCCGTGTTCTGTGGTGGGTATTGGAACAAAAAAAAAAATACTGGCTAGTTTGTGATACAAAAACAAATGCTTTTAACGTAAATTGTAGTGTTTCGATCTGGCGACTATCCTATCCGCGGATAGGCCAACATATCAAATTTAATTCACATGTTTCAAATTATCACTTTAACAATTCAATTTAATATATAGTTAATATTTTTTTTCTATTTGTCAAATTTAATATAAAGATAATCATAACAAATATACAGTATGAAACTCTAACAGATTGATATTTTAATATCACTCTTGCTTTTCCTTAATCACTATTATTGACCCAATTTTTAATCGATTCTTCAGCTTTTTCAATGATAATTTTTTCTTTTTCATTATTTCCAATCATTTTCTTAAAAGCTTTTTCAGCTTTTTCGTAACACATTTCACATTCATCTTTAAAATCATCAAACATAACAATTTTCAAATAAGCAATAGCAATACAACTAGTTAATATTTCTTCAATTTCCTTTTCACTTAATTCACTTAATTCTTTTTCAATTTCTTGTTTAAAGTTATTAAAACCATCTAAATAATTTTTATAAAAAAATTCATAAAATGTTTCATTAGGTAAGAATTTCCCATCAAATGATTGTAATTTCAAAAATTTGAATAAATTTTCAATTTTTGGTTCTTTATGAATAACATTAACTTCTTGTTGCGATACAGATAAACTTCATGAAAAAAATTTTTGAAAAAAAAATATTAATTATCATCCTCATATTATAAGAACATAAATGAACTTGTATACTAACCCTTCAATTAGTTTTTCAAGACCATCCACTAATAAATCATATAAATATTCGATTAATTTAAGTAAGTGTCATTATTTCAATCCGCTAAATAAATAAAATTATAAAACAAACATACTACTGCCGTTAAAAGAGCACAAACTCTTTAAATAATCTTCTTGCCTTGCTTCTCCCGTTAACATCCTCCTCCTCCCATATGATTTAATTAATTGAGGGACTTCTCTTATCTGTGGAATTATTTGGGACTCAAATAAACTTTCATTATTTCGCTCATCAATTGCAATGAAACTATAAAAAAATTATAATTAATAGGTAACATACAAAATAAATTAATCGTAAGTATAATTAAATGAATTTTATACCTTGTATATTTCGAGGCTAAATTAAAGGTTTTAGCAAGTTTAACAATATGCTCTTTAACTAATGAATCTGGGATATGTTTATTAGCATTTTTAGGATGTTTATGAATAAATGATTTTTTATCATTAAGATCTTGAATCAGTTTCCTTGCCGCTAATCTATGAATCTTTGAACCTTGTAAAGTAACTGGATCTAAAGGAATATCAAGTTTCATAGGGCCATCTTGAGAAGTAGCTTTTAAAGTAATAACTTTCCATGGTTCAATATTTTTTTCTAAAATACAATAGACAATAAATCGAACTCCAGAATAAATGGGTGGAATAATATATGGAGCTTGTTGAACTTTAATATCAGTGAATATATCACTTGGTGGTGGTGGTGGTGGTTCTATATTGTCATCACTCATAAAACTAATAGTAGGTTTATCTACTTCAATTGGAGTCATATCTAATTCCTTTTCATCCAATAAATTGACCTCAGTCCAAGTAATATTATAATCCTTAATTGGTGGTTTTAAAGCATTTTTTAACATTCCAATAACTTTTTTATCCATTCTTTCATCATTTGTTACAAATTGAGCGTATCCTTTACCAGCACGAGCAACAGATTCAACTAAATTATGAGAAACAGAATCACCTATTCCTAACGAAAAAAGACGTAAATCATCGTTCTTTTCTTCTTCATGTTTACTTACAAGTTCTACAATTTGATCAACATTCCGAACTTCTCCATCTGTAATAAGAAATATTGAAGTTGACATATCATCTCTTGAATTTTTAAATACCCATTCTAACACATTATAAACTTTTGTTCCCCTATAATTTGATTTCATTGTTTGAGCAAGATTAAGAGCTTCAGATAAAGTTGTTTCGGAGTAAAGTTCACTTTTTGGAAAAAGAGAATCATAATCAGATCCAAAAGATACTACATTAAAATAACAATCTTCGGGGAGGGAACGTAATAATAATTCAAGTGCTTGTGCGGCTTTCTTCATAGGTTCAACACCCATTGATCCCGATCTATTTAAAACATTTTTTTTTTATTAATTGAACAGAAAATTTCAATTTGTAGTTGAATTATAACATACCTATCAACAACAAAAACTAATTCGGATATGGTAGTATTTAATGAAAATTTTGGAACCAAAGTTAACATAATACAATTAGTTTGTGTTTCAGGATTATACTCAACAAAAGCTCTGAAATAAATTTAAATAATTTTAATTATAGTAATTAAATAAAAAATAATTACGTGAAATATTTACCGTGGTTGATCAAGGTCCTTACTCTTAACCACAAGAATAAAGTCTTTTTCTAAATAAGTAATTTGTTCGGTCAAAGTAATTTTAGATATTTTAGGATTTCCTTCAATATTCATTTCAGTAGAAATTTTATGTGAAGGTGATTCAATATTTTGAATAGCTGAAGTCATTCTACAAGTAACAGCAAGTTCTAAATAAAAATCTGCTTTATTAGAATAAGATACAACATCAGGATTAAGAATTTTCCCATCATTTGAAGATGACGAGTATTCTGAAGAACCATATCTTGGAGCAATATTAGTTGGTAGGACAAATCGAATTTTTTCTGATTCAGAATCATGTTTAAGTTCGGTAACATATGTAATCTTAATGACTACAGTTTGTCCCGATGTAATATTTCCAACAGAACATTGAAATACATCTTCAGATTCAGATTCTAACAAATAAGCACCATGTCCTTTCTAATCATTTAAGAAAATGAAAGTTAATTATATTAAATAATATTTTGAAATTATTTTAAATTTGATATTACCTGAATTGCTTCATTATACTCTTTCGCAGCCTCTTTTGCTTCTTTCACGATACCCTTTACTTTTCTTTGACCATCAATTTCTGCTTCAAACCCGCAGATTGCTGCGGCTTCATAGATAGGGAACTTATAGAGCGCTTCAATAGTGTCTTCTTCAATATTTTTATATACCTGGCTGATCGTAACTAATAAAAAAAGAAATAATAAATAAAAAAAAAACATAATGAATAATCATAATATCGTTTATATAAATTTGACGTACCTTCAGCGATCATATCAACGACTTTAAAAAAAAATTGGCAATTAATCAATTTTGGAACATCATTATAAAAAAATTGAAAAATAAATTATAATCAATATGAACTTACTATTAGCTTCAACAGCAACATTTTGTAAAGGAATCGGTTTTATTTCCTGTTCAACAATAAAACAAAGTCCGTAAATTTGCATTTTTAGAAAAATAAGTGATTTTTTTTTTTTTTTTCATTTTATTGTATACATAGACATGTACGTTGTGCGTCAATTAACCCTATTTAGGTTATTAGAATCAATATTAACTGATTATTGATCGTAGTACACTCACTGACTCACTAATCAATCAACGAAAATTCGAAAGGTCTTCAAATAGTAAAAATAATTTGATTTCTTAGCAATGAAAATGAAATGTGACTGACTTTCATTTCCTTTTTGTGGAGGCATCCTTTATTTGTGTGCCAGGTTCGTGGCGCAGCAAATTTTTTAAAAACATTTTTTTCTTCAACATAAAGTTTTTAAACTTATACTAGTAGTACCTGTTGACTACATCAACATTCTACACTTTACTTTATATATAATAATAATCGTAATGATTATACATAATAAATAAATAATTAATTAATTAAATAATTTAAATAATTAATTGCCGAAGTAAAAAGTGAAGATCAATGAAATCTGCCATTCCCAACATAGGCAAGTTTATCAATTTTTATTCAAATTCTTGAAATTTTTACTGAAAACTTCAACATTGGATCTATTTTATCTATGTATTTAATATAATTATTACAAAGCTCAAAATTTTACAAATTTGCTTATAAATCAAAAAATATGGAAAATCATATGAAATCTGTCGTTCCCCCCTATAGATAAGTCTATTAATTTTTAGCCAAATTAGCTTGAAATTTTTATTAAAAAAAACTTTGACATTAGGTCTCTTTTATTCAAATGCTCAATATGATTTTTATAAGATTTAAATTTTACAAATTATCTTTTAAAGTTGCCAATTTTTATTATTCTATATTTATTAATAGACTAATTTAGATGTTTATTAATAAAATATTATAATTCACATTACAATATTTAATGCCGTAGCATAATTTTTTTAGAGATTGAGTTTAAAAGTATGCCTACTTGCTATTATTTTACCGACATCACATTTTTCCGAAACCATTTTAACGAATCCCTATTTTGGTGATTTTGCCTTACGAAAGCAAGAAAGATTTTCAATGATATAAATTTTTTTGTTTTAAAATCTTGCATTGTTAATGCATTTTGTTACGGCAGTCGCCCGCCAGCACATATGGGCAGATTTGGTTCACTTTGATGATCGACATTCGCCAAATCCGCCTATATGAGTCCAGCATTATGATGTACTTTGGGCCAGAATTATAAATATAATAAAACGCTGGCCGGCATTACATCATAAATTCACCGGTGATATTTATATATTAATTCTTTTATACTGTATATTAATATTATTCTTACTATTCCGGTTTTACATTTATTTTTTCTCATTGATCAATAATTTGACTTTGTCAAATTTTTCACGCGATCTTTTTCAGTATAAATAAAACACGGACTGGTTTTTTAACTTCTATATACTTCTCACTCTATTCCTTTCTTTAATTTCGCATTAACGAAATCAAATTTTCTTCCAATACCATAATGTTCATGTAAAACAAACCATATGAATTATCTGATATAAATAAAGAATTTTAAATAAAAGAAACAATAATTCAAAAATTATATATTAAAAAATTATTAATAATTACTAGAAAAAAAAAATCGAAATAATTTTCTATATTAAATACATAATTTACTTTTGAATAATTTATTAAATTTTACAACTCAAAATTGTAACAATATTTATATTACTAATAAAATACGAAAAATATGATAGTAAACACTTTTGATTAAAAAAATATATTAGGTATATTAGATATTAAAATAATTAACAATTTTAATTTTAAAACTCTTTTTGTTAATTGGATTAACAAAATAATCCCCTGTCGCATTAAGTGTCACTCATGATCACCTTCTTATCTGAGTTCATAAATGACCGGGAATCTTCGTTTAGTTATTTCCCGGTCTCATACAGATAGCCGGGAAATTACTAATTTTAGTTTAAAATAGTTAAGTTTAAAATAGTTAATATTTAATGAGTGACATGCTCCCATTTATTTCATGGGAAGGGGAACATTAGGGTTTTTTTCCCGAAGGGAAAAAACCCCTATTATTCCCAACTCCCCATGAAATAAATAATACTAATTATGAATAATTTTTATAAATAAAAATAAAATAAAATTTATTTTTATTGAACATTCTTATTCTAATTATAAAAAAAATCAAGAAAAATAAAACAAAATAATCGAAAAATAATGAAATGTAATAATAATCAAAAAAAAAAAAAAAAAGAAATAAAATGAAAAGAAATAAAATAAATAAACTTTACACAAAAAATTAAAGTTGAATTTTCATTTGCAAAAGCTAAATTTCTACCCTCAGGTTATAAAATAATATTGATAAGGACCATTTGGTTATGTTAAAAAATTTATAGTATTAATGTAAGATTAAAGCTAATTTAATAACTTAAAATTAAATATTTTAGCTTAGTTGTATAAAGATTTATTTATCATTTCATGATGGAACTTTTATTTCGAACTTTAAAAGTAAAATAAAAAAAAAGAGGAAATAGTTCCTTAGCCCTTAGGAAGAATTCTGGGATCCTGTATTTCTCGTACAGTATCTTTTACTGTAGGTGTCACAACTGGTAATCAGTATTATTCAAGAGTCTCGCATTTTCTAATGGGTGTAATTCGGTATACTGATATGTAACGTGATAGGTACGTGTATCGTTTGGTAAAGGAAAGTAAAATTCAAATGTATCGTTTTAAGGTACGGAGTTGCGGTATTAGTACTATTTATGTATAAGGCGTATAGAATTGAGTCATGTTGAAATTGTTGAATACTATATCAAGAATTTGTAAATATGCGAAGCTACCTTTCCAGTTTGATCTATTGGTAAAACTAGAATAATCCTGTGCAGTTTGATTATTCGAATTCATGTTTTTTCAAAATCAAATTAATAAAAAGAATTATTAAAACTTACTAATTTTTTGTAAATTTTCTAATTTGAATATTATTCAAAGTAAAAATTTGCATTTAATAAAAATTTTTCGGCCTTTTTTCTTTCAGAAAATTTTGTAGTAACTATATCATATCTGATGGCTGAATACCTCATTGGGAGTCTATTTAGAAATAAAAAAAATTTTTTTACTGCCCTGCCACAAACCAAGATTTTAACTAAAAATAGACTTTGTGTAAATAAATTGTGTAATAAAGTAATTTTCACTAAACCTAATTTATATTTGATTGTCCTTTTGTAGGACGAGAGAAATTATATTACAGAATGTTGACCTACAAACAAATAAATAACTCTTTCCCGAAATTTTGCAATTTATATTGTAATTCCGCAGTAAAAAAATTTAATTTGTAAATTTTCATAAATTTTCACATTATTCTTGACACATCAACTTAAAAAAAGAAAATATAGAGGTTACATAAAAACGGATATATCAGCTTTCAAAAAATTTCAAAACAATTAATGAAAATAGGGACATTTTGCGACCTTTTACGGAAATTTAGGGTCTTTCCTTCACCTTACAAAATACTATATCCTTTTTTCTAAATAAATAACCGACATACTAGAAGAAATTGTTGTCAAAATAGTGTATGTAGCAGATACGTTCCCGTATTGGACACTAAGTTGAGATATCATTTTGATAGTTGAGTCACATGATAAGACCAAACGGGAATATTTGAGGAACTAATCACCTAAGAGAATTGCGTTTGTACCCTCTGTTCAGTTAACTACCAAATAATCACTACTTTGTAAAGTAAATTGTAAAAAATTGGGGATTTACTACCTCTCGGAATGGGTGTACCTTCTCAGATGGAGAATTCCTCATGAACCAACAGTCTTGCATAGTTGGTTGTACGAGGTAATACTTCCTCATATAACATGTAGCCACAAATTCTACCTCTGAAGAACAAAAAAAGTAATAGAATTTGGGGAATAGTAGGGAGAAGAGGAACTGAACCAAAATGTTGAAGATATACTGGGATCATCGTATGATATTTCACCGCTCAAGAAACTAGTAGACCTTCGATGAAAAAACAAGTATATAAAATTTATTATCGCTGAAACCAATCTTTTAGTTTATTTAGATGTACCTATTCCTGGTAATTATGATTATATTTTTTATTAACTCCGTATTAATTGGCTATTTTTAATGCTAATTGGTTGCAAAATTTCCAATACCACTAGTGGATGTCGATGGATGATGGCTAAATAAAATCGTTTTTAAACTTTCCCCTCCAGGACAAACAGAAAAGATAGTTGTGTTCTTTGACAGTTTCAAGAAATAACAAGAGGCTACCAGCACTGGTCGGTCAGGATTTAACTGGGTCTAACCTCGTTTACGAAGAAAGAAAGCAAAACCGGGAAATGATACTAAAAAGCCGGAGGGAGTGAGTACAAAAAGAGGAAGAAGGATATTAAGGGAAAGTGGAGTAGAGATGACGGAAAAAGGAATAGGTAAGAAATAAAAAAAAACGCATCACTAAATATCCATTGTCAGCAGTAACTATTGTCAGTAACGAAGATTTATGTAGTATTTTGAAAGTACTGTATTTGCTTAATTGATTGGTTTGCTATAGATGGTAATACTAATAAGGAGTGGAGCATCAGGACGTGATGAGGATTCCGTAAATAGTTGAAAAAATTTAGATGTATTTATTTTAATATTTTGAAATAAAAGAAAGAAAAAAGCTTTTATCTCAAATAACGATCATATACTATTTTTCAGGAAGGATTAACAGTTAAATATAATTGTATCTCCCGAATTTTATCTTTACAAATTAGTAGTAGTCTTAAAACAAATAAAACACAATTAATTATATTGAAATTTTTATGTTGATACACCATTTTTAAACACGTTTGTACGGGTATTAGAAATAAAAAAAAAAGAAAAGAAAAATTTCGAAGGTTATAAAAATTTTTTTTAAAAGGATGGATAGCATTCTAATGAATTTCGTTCTAATCATAAAAAAAAAAACTTTTTTTTTTTAATAGTAAACGTGACATGTTTATTGATACGATTTCATATACGATATAAAATTCATATACTAACTATACTAAATATGTCTCTCTGCAAACTTTTTTTTCAGCAACCCATATGTATACTATCGAATTGATAAATAAGATGAAAAGAAGAAAAGTACGATGTAATAATATATAAACATAGAATAAAATAAAATAAAACANCCACTTGATATGTAATCAACCCATATGTATACTATCGAATTGATAAATAAGATGAAAAGAAGAAAAGTACGATGTAATAATATATAAACATAGAATAAAATAAAATAAAACAAAATATATCGATAATAAAGAAAAAAAAAATACTAATTTAATACAAATCCAAATTCACAAAATAAAATAGAGCAACTGTGGCTTCATAAAACTTTTTAGACTTGAAGACCACTTCGTACATATATTGCAATGATAAAATAAAAATATAAAAATATAAAAATAATAAAATGAAATTAGTTAAATAAACCTTGAATAAAATCATTCTTTATAGAGAAAAACGTGGAAAAGGCCATTTAATCATTTAATTTACGCTAAACAAATTAAACAATCATGTAAATACTAAAAATGAGTTATCATTTCGTCATCTTAACTTTTATTGTCGAACTTTAAAAATAAAATAAAAATAAATAAATAAATTAACTTTATTTACCAAACAATTAAATATAATAATGAGTCTCTAAGTCCTTAGGAAGAATTCTGGAATCCCGTATCTCCCATATCTTGCATATCATAAGAAACAGTTCCGTTTACTGCTGCATTATAGGTGTCACTAGTTGAGTATACTTGGGGAATAGGTTGAGTAGTGTCGAAAGATTGTTGTTGAATGCTATTTTGTTGATAAATGATAGAATGTTGGACTTGTTGCTGAATCTGTTGTTGAATTTGAGATTGTACATTATAATGATGCGTCAATAGGTAATCAGGAATACGATTAATTCCATTATTCAAGAGTTGAACATTTTCTGATGGGTTTAATTCAGAATAAGTAACACGATAGATACGAGCATCATTTGGTAAATGATAATAAAATTCAAATATAATATTATGAGGCGCAAGAGTCGTAGAATTAATAGTATTAACGTGCAAGGTGTTTAAATTCATATTAGATACTCCAACATTGTTAATTAAAGTATGTTGGATGTTTTCATTGTTATTATTATTATTAGGAATTTGTTGAGGAGAAGGACTATTTCCAGTTTGATCAGTTTGTAAATTACAATAATCTTGTGTATTTTGGTTATTTGAATTCATGTTGTTCAAAATTCAGATGGTAATAATAAGTAAAAAATGAATAATAATTAATATAGGTAATTTAGGAAATTTAAGATTTAAAGGCGAATTAATTTTTTACTTGAAGGTTTTTGATTTTTGATTTTTTTTTTTTTTTTTGACAGAAAAAATAGGGTATTTTGCGCGTTTTTTATATCCCGAAAAAACGGTAACGCTATTTAATTGCACAAGAATTTGACTACTGTAAATGAATCCTTTTTTATTTATTTTTTTTTTAAAAATATTAAAATCCCCCCAAAATACATAAAAGGAAATAAATAGTACGCCAGATCATCTGTGTGAATTTTTTTTCCTAATATATCATCATTCATATAAATCATTCTTTTAAATAATTCATAGTTACAGTATATATCATTCATTGTCGATTGTTTGATGATTTTTATAGATTCATTCCGGTTAATAATTATGCACATTTAATTAAAAAATTTCTTATATAAGATCCACAAATTCTTACTGCGTGTTTGATTTTTATCCTGGATCACGAGTATAAACTGAACTATATGTAGATTAACCCCAGTGACACCCGAAAAAATTCCGCAATAGTAAATTTATTCATCACACGTGTCACGACTGTCACGTCCCTCTGTGTTTCCATTTTCTATAAGTATCAGAGGGACTTAGTTTTTTTCGGTTAGTCAAAATCCTATTTGTCACGCCCTTAGTCGTCACTGTTTATTCACGTGTTACTGCATAGTGCCAGCCCTGTGCGGAATTTTTTGGGCAGATTTTCGGGTGTCAGGGCAGTTATATGTGTAATGTACATAGTTCTTGTGTTCATATTTATTTTTAGACTTGGGAATCAGAATCTAAGTTCGAAGGTATTACTATAATAAGGAATAGGATTGAAGATCAAAAATCGTGAATTTTGAAAAGATTATAATGATGAAAGGTCAGAAACATTATTTTCTGAAGAGGAACTTAATCAGGATGCCAGAATATTAAGATCAAATTTCAGGAGAATTTAAAATGGCGGAATTCAAAAGGCAGAAATAAAATATTTTTATGAACTTAAGATTTCATTTTGATGAAAATCATTTAGCTGTTAGGGGTAAATTTATACGTTGAAAAGGGATCGATAATTATGGAATTTAACGGAAGTTATGATTGTAATTTATAAAATTAACTAATTAGGAAATATTATTATAACCAAGCATTATATATTTGTTGAACTTTTATACTATTAATAAAATATTATTTTTGTTAAGACCACGGTGGCAACGTAGTTTACTATTGGCGTGGGTCTTACACTGTGTTGAGAGATTTTTATCTTGGAATACTTCCACCTCCTCATAATGGCGCTATGCAAATACTTAAGTCGGAAAAGATTTAACAAGAAGTTCATAAGTTGCAATTTAATAATGACATAATCCAGCAATGAATTAAATTTGGAATTCACGTTATTTAACAACCTCACAGAAAAAGCCGTTTATTATAAACATATTCGTAACGCTGATACTATTCATCGAATCTCTCGAATTAATACAATTTACAAACAGTTCTTTCGAAGGCAGTTATTTAATGAACAAACTTCTATGAAAATGAAATTCTCCAATGTTTAATTTTGATAGATGTTTAGGATCTTCGTCATTTTCTTAAGTAAATCAAATTTTTTGACATTTTATACGACGATTTTTTCATAGTATTATTGCGAGAAAAGAACTGAAAGTTGAATGAATCCTTTTCTAATCTAATATTTAGAAGACACTCATTGCTACTGCGTAGACAGCACTGCATATACGAAATAACCCTTTTTATAACGAATTTTTTTTTTTTAGTATAACGAAGATTTTGCAAGATAAATTTTATCATACAAGGCAAATAAACAAAATTTACTATTTTAATCTATCCCACGCACGTGTTTCAATTCCCGGACGCCAAAAAGACCATTCTAGAAGGTGAAAAAAAGCAAGTATGAGGACAGAGTTAATCTTTATTTCTATTATTTCTATAAGTTCGATAACGAAAAATTCGATGGAATTAACTAAAAAAAGAAAATTAGAAATGAGAATACCTATTATACTAAAGATAAATTGATGGTTACACAGCCAAAATGGCAAAGGTTTGATTGCTAAATCTCTTATTTTTTTTGTGAAAAAACTAATTTCTTTAAAAGTCGTTTGATTAGAATATTCAAAAATTTACAAAATAGAACAAAGTAAAAGAGTAAAATTAATTTTGTAAAGGTACTAGTTCGAATACCAATGAGAAAGAATAGTAATGTTTTGTATTTCATTTTTCAGTTAAATTATTCAGAATTATCGCTTGAGAAAGAAGTAGGGTTGTAAAATTGTGTAGTAAAAACGACAAGTTTCCGTAAATTTTCTAAAGTAAAACTCGATAGGTTCGTATTCCAATTTACAGGGAACATTATTTAGGGTAAAATTTGCATTAAATTTAAAAAGCTTAATGGATTGCTTCTTTTGTAAGGTTTTTAAATTTCTTCAATCTTATTTACTTATTTACTTTGTTAGTAACTAGTTTAACGCAATACTCAATAATTATAACATAGCTCCAATTTATTTTTTAATGTACGGATATGTTCTATTATGTTTATGCGACATTAGATATTACGAGTAACAAAATAATTACGTAAATTTTTCATTGTAAAATTCCTATCACTTTTTATAAGAAAACAAGATACTAAAAATAACGCGTTTTATATTTATTGTGTAGCGTTTGTTTTTTATTCTGGTTTTTAGTAAATAAATAGACCATTTTTTTTAACTATACATCATATATATACTGTATATATATATCAAATCACCAGTATTTCTGGTATTTGAATTTTTTGTAATTAAATTTTCATTGAATAGTTACTATTCAATATTGAAAATAAACGTCGCCCAAATACAGTAAGTAATAAATCCAGAAAACTGCGCCGCAGCTCTTAATGGTCAAAAAGGAAATAGAATAATTTTCTTTATAGAAAGGGTGTCTTTTACTATTATTAGATAAATGGATCATTTAAATTTTAATTGGCCTACGATAACCAAAAACCAATTCATTCATTGTTTTAAAACTGAAAGCGTCTCGGTGTCATCATCCAGGCTATTTTATAATTTCATTTGTAATAAAGAAATTCGTTATAATGCTTAAAACTTTAAATATAGAAGTATCACTACATTCAAGAGGAGCAGTCGTAATAATTAGCATTTGTGTAATAATAAGGCCTTTAAACTAAATGTCTCGTGATGGCGATCACGCCAAACATTATAATCCGAATTTAAAAGGAAATGATTGGTGGCGTCTGAGTGACTAATATGAAATATTAATGATACACATTCTTTTTCAAGAACTCCTCTAGAAAATTTCTTAATTCTACCAGTGATTGTAAATCTCTGCATTTACTGTACCTATTATGAGAAAGAAAAAATTATTAATAGTGTGCTAAATTTCTATTTAATGGTAAAGAAGACATAGCCAATTCCTCCTTTAGAATTAGCAGACTTTATCAATAACAAAGTAGGATGTTATTTGCTTGAGTTGGTTATCAAGTGAACAATAGAAATAAAAAAAAATAAAAGAAAAAAAGAAAAAAAGGGAATAAAAAAATAAAAATAAAAATAAAATAAAATAAAATAAAAAAGCAGGTAATTTCATAGGAATTACCTACTTTGCTCACCCTTACCCAACCCAAACAAATAAATCCAGTACCCTCCTAAGTAAAATTTGTGAACTCCCCGACTCAATGAGTTATCCGTTCTAATTTTAGCTTAGGAAGTTACCCACTTTGCAAATAAAAAAATACACACCTCTTTTAAAGTCTCTTAATAAGCCATTTACACTCATCTAGAAAATCAGTAATGCTCCATTCAAAGAATTTTCATCTGTTGTCCAGTATTTCAATACAAAATTGCTGTAATTGATAAATAATTGAATACAATTCAATAATAAGAAATCAGATAACAAATATAAAGTAAAAATTTTTCACATTTTTAATACTTGATATG